TAAAGCTTGGTATGTGGAATAGCATGATCGCCAAAGCCGACCAACTTTTTATTTAAAACCACTCCTGTTCTATCTAAAAAAAAGTCTACTCAGCAGTTCGGGAGGATAGCGTAACATTAGAATCACTATATATTAAGAATTTTCGGCTTGACGTATTCGGCAATATAAAAAATGAATTGCTTATAGAATTGTACTCTCTTAACACAGACAGGAAAAAGATGTTTTTTTAAATAATAATCGATGATAAACTGTCTAGCATACGACAACGGGGCATGAAAAAATGATTCTCTAATAAGTAGTATTAATTATCTAAAAAGTCGCTACGTATTGCTCGTCTCACTGATTAAGTCTTCCACAATACTTATAGTAATAAATTTAAGCTAGATTCGCAGAAAAAGTTTCACGTTCGAAAATGAAATCTTTTTCCACACGTATACGCCTAATAAAAGTGCAGGAACTAATTGAACGCTAAATTCAATGACAAATAAAGCTACCCCTTAGCTAGTTTGTTCGTTTAGCATGAGTTTTGAACACTTTCTATTGTTGCATCTGCTCGATTCCATCAGATCAGTAACGTCAAGATGATAGATGCTATTGCTGCTGCTGCAGTTGTTGCAACAGCGGGCATACCTCGACCAAAGGTGTTCCTAAAATTTCTTGACACACCTGATTCACATCCGGTTCCATCATAAGCGAAGAAATCTGATCTTCCGTCAGCATCTCGACGCTAATATTGATTAGAAAGAAGTTAAGATGTGATGCTATTTGTATGAAAAGAAATATGTTATTAAAATACGCGTACCTTGCCAAACTTTCGCTATCAGACGTTTCCTCGTCAGGATTGAGATAGGTCATCGTTTTTTCTAGTGGACTGGGAACTTTTTTCCCTTTCCCTTCGAGCTTCTCGGATTTCTCAGACTTCTCCTTGTCTCTCTCTCCTATTTTTGGCTCGTTCGAACGTCTGTCCGTGAGGCTAGATATATTCAGCATCATCATTCCGTGATTAAGTAATTCCTTCACCCGTTCGCCTGTTCCAGCACTCCACAACATATCGAGAGACTGCCTTCTGCTCGAGCTCGCTGTTGAATATCATTCAGTGAAATGAGATGTGTCTTGAAGACGATCTTTGTTACCTAAAAATGCATATTACTAGTGCTTACTCGAACTGCCTCCGCTGGTTTCGCCTGCGACCGAACTCCTAGTTATCCAATTAGTTAGACTCGTGTCCAATTTGCTTTTACTTTTCACCGACGGACTTCTCGTTACTTCCGCCTTCTCGCTGCTCAAACTAACTTCGTTCCCTTTCAACATAGCTGGCAATGACTTCTGAGTTACCAATTTTCTTTTACTAGTCGTCTCGACTGGCTGCACACTCGCGCCGTTAGTAAGCGGATTGTTACCGTCTGGAGTCAGGTCCATAGGCAACGGTTTGTAAGGAATTTGATCCTCTTCGTCGGAGTACACTTCATTGTTATAGTACACCTCGTCAGGAGAATTGTTTAAGCTTATCTCCGTCCATTCCTCTCCGTTCTGTACAGCGACATTCGAGGTTTGAGGATCTACCGGTGTTTGTATTTTAACTCTTTTCTCTATGGGAGACAGGATGCTCGATAGGTCCGATAGTCGCGAGGTCGAAGAACTCGTTTGATTCAGAGTTCTGATATGTTTCGTGTCAGTTGCCGCGATACTCTTTGGACGGTCTCGTTTTATATACTTCCGAGGCTCCGTGGATGAAAGATTCAAGTTGCTTAGGCCTAAATACTCGGAAGAAGGCTCTCCGTCGATCTAAACAAACGTATGCGTAAACGTAAGTGATAAAATTTACATTAAAGTAGAATAGGCGAACTTACTCTTGTAGGCACAGGACATGGTGTACTAGGACTCATTTTATCAGGAAGCCGTAAGTATTCGTCGCTGGTATAATCTGTGCTATCGGGAGATCCAGTAACGCTTGAATCTGTTGGAGTGGCTGTATTCGGTTGCAAAGATGATTGATCGACGACATCTCTCGAATCCTTATCAAAGTCATCTGTTCCATCGTACTTTCTAGTCTATAAAAGATAAATTATAAACTTTACATATCACCTGAATGGAATATCTCTCAAACAAATAGAAAATGATCGTACCCTATGAATTTCATCACTGATTTTCTCTAAGTTTCTCAGCGCTTCAGCGTAAGTCATTTTAGCTTCGCCCACTGATCTCTCTAAAGCGCTTACTCTCAGTTTCTGTTCCTCCAACATTTGGTTGAAATAGGCTTTCATTTCGTAGTAGGGTCTACGTAACGAATTAATTAAGTGTCGGTTACATTTTACTGAAAAGCTTTTTATTCTTAAGAAGCAACATTCGAGTACAGCAGAATTTGTAAAATTGTAACTCGTGCATAAACGGGGTATTGTTAGAAAATTAAATTATCAGAACTGGGTCTATTTGTAGAAAACACGTGGAATAAGAATCGTGTAAAAAAATAAAAAAATGATGTCTATCCTACTTACAACATGAGCAAGTTGTGCCTGTAGGCGATACTGTTTATCAGAAGCAAGCTGCGACGTGCACCCATACTGCCAACATGAATACAAACCAAAAGACATAAATATATTCTAATATCTAGGCAAAATTAATACGATGAACAAAAAGAAATTATTCGTACGGGGGTAGAACACAAATGTTAAACGATATCGGATTCTAAGATTGAGATGTATGTATATTAATTAAATGCAATACAGTCCATGCGTCATCGAGTAAACTAGAAGACCATTCAATGTCGCTAGCTAAATTATAACAGATATTTATCTGGCACATACCTAGACTTAGCAATTGCACGTTTCAATTCGCGTTGCAATCTCTGAACTTCGTGTTCTGCTTTATGATACAAAGCAGTCGTGTGTCTGTGCTCTGCTTCTGACAGGGCTCTCTCATGTTCCGATTCATTAACTCTGGCTGTTGCATGATTCAACATTTCCTAAGAAAAAGTTCGGCCGATATGAGATTCTGTAATTCGTTTGAGCATTGAATGAAAATTACCTGCCAGGCATGGTCAAAACATCTCCCTTCTGTTCTCAATCCTTCTTCGGCTAGATAAACCATCTCTTTGGCTGCTGCATGCTGACTGTTCGCTCTTTCGAATCTAACTGCAGCTTTTTGTGTTTCAAGTAGAGCCTTGAATCAATGATTACATTAGGAGTCGTACTACGTTGCTCCAATTTGCATCAAAGTTAAAAATGCTTCTTACTTCTTTCGCCTTGAACCTGGCATCGTAATATGGCCTAGATTTTTCTATACATGTGCCAAGCTTCTTAGCTAACGTGTCAATCTTTAACGTGGACTCACAAAGCAATTCTCTAAAAGTGGCTCTTGCTTCCTAGAAAATAATAATCCGTTTGGGTGATCAATGACTGGATGTTTGTTTCCTCAATTGATTCAGATAAATTGAAGTTTTGTATCATGAAATGTTTCTTTGGACCATGTTATAAATGACTGCGAGATCATCTTCGAAGCCATTATCCATTTACCCGTACACTTTACAGCAATCACCTCAATGAAATGTAATCACAACCAGTTTCAAAAGTTGCTACTAATTTGGCCTTCCAAACAGGCAGACTGTTATCTTATTCCAATTAATTTAACGTAATCTAATAGTTAATTTATGTTAGAAACGTAATACTTACATCCAAATCAACCTCGAGTTTGTTAATATCATCAGTAGCAGTATTCAATCTTTCAAGTTCGATCTAGAATGACAATTACTCATTAAAGAAATTAATGAAATAACTAACGAACATTGGTACGAGCAGATTAATGTACAATGATTTTCACTAAATAATTAATATTCGTTGTTATCAAGCATGTAGCATTCAAATAAAATGATATTTCATTATTTTAATTAAGAGGTAATTAAGAATGTGGCTGAAAAAAACTGTAAGAATGTTCCAAATAGATTACAATAACATTTAACGATTATGTTTTCTTAACGATAGACAAGAGATTTGACAACTAGGGTATGTCTTATATTAATATAGAAAGAGGAAGACGATCGAGTTGTTTTATTCGAAGCAACGTGGAAATGTCAATATCACAAGTAGCAGACGAGATGGCAATAAATGAATCTCCGAAGAACACGTTAGTTTACCTGCACCCTAGGGTCCACCGCGTCGTCAACACGATCAGAATCATCACCACTTTCTTTCTGCACACGTCCACTCATAATTAAGGATAAAACTGAATTTTATTTACAATTTTTCATACCACCTGTATCGTCTGCTACATATCAGGTGGCCATGTTGAATGTTAGACCGACTAACAGTACTGTCTACACTACAGTGTCTACGTTAAAACGGTCAAGGGCACTTGAAAACCAATTCCTTTATTCACATTTATTCATTGTTATAACGAGCAATCATTAAATTCGACGAAGCTCTACTTTATTCAACAATAGAAACGCATACAAGACCCATTTGATACGTGTTACAATTATCAGGATCGTGATCAGGGCTAGATAGGGTTGAATAAAATGTAACCATGGTTAGGGTCGAAGAATCTGCATTATATTTCGAATCAGAGAAAGTAATTTATTTTTAGAACAGTAGTTTCGGTCAGTGTAAATAGTTGGAGCATAACCAAATCTAAAATGTGGCGCCGTCCGTAATGCAACATGACTCTTCAACATCATGCGAAACGTTTCGCTAACAGAGGACGTTGCGTACGCGACAGACGAACTCTCAAACAGATTTTTTCCCATTCGCATCGGTGTGTTCTGTGCCGTCAGAACAGGTGGGTTGCGTCCAGGGAAAGCTGACGGCAGTGCAGAAACGTCAATCGTCGAGTTGCAATAATACAATTCATCGTTGTCGGTGAGTGAAAACGTTCAATTACATCCAACAGGCCCGCGTCCTAAATCGGGTATCGCGATTTTTCTACCGTCGTGTCCTCGCGCCGGTGCACGTAAAACGAGAAAAACGGACAAAGGTGCTTTGTCGAGAAACACGGGACTTTCTATTTAGGCATTTTTAACGCGAAACAGCGAAAGGCAAGTGGAGAGAAAGAGGATAGATCGTGGAACAACAAACATAAGTAAAGGTACATATCTCTGTTCGCGATCGAGACACTTGATGCTGGCAACGTTCCTTTAGCAGAAAGGCTCGATCGTGCATATTTCTGGTGAAAACATTTTCCTCTTCGCGCTTTCTGTTTTTCACATGACACGAGGAGATTTTAAACTCCCTCGATTCGCGCTCCTTATGTAGGTATATACAGGGCTCGTATCTATTGCACGCCTTGCTTCGATATGTTTTGTCTTTTACAAAGGTTCATTTGAGAAAGGAATTATATATAATGTCGATGTACTTGACTTTATTCGGTTTTTATACACTCAATCCTATAAATACGATCTGTGGCTGTGTATGAGTGCTGTGCAATTATACGGGAAATTAGAGAAACATAAACAGGGTGAATTGTGTTCCCGATTCGAAATCGTAAACAGTGGAAACGGTACCAACGGACAAGTCGAACTTCCGATGTCGCGCGGTGAATTAACTCAAGGACACAACGGGAACGGTGCCCCGTGGATACCACGAAACGTCGTAAAGACCTCTTATAGTGTGTTCTACCGTTGCTGGTATCACAGTTAACTTGTTTCGTATTCGTACGGCGAAAATACAGCCGACAGACACTTCTACACGGTTACATACGTACGTTCCCTTTTCGTCGCGACTGATTCGATGAAGTGGTCCCATTGCTTGAACCGAGAGGGATCGTTTACCGTACTTATCGTTTAATAAATTCATGCACATTGCCCGGGCATAGCGGAGATAACTTTTCATATCGCACGAACGCCCACTCTCTTCGCCCATTCGAATCGCCACCGTTCTCCAACGCGATTCAACTTTCAACTTTCCTCTGTTCATGATCTATAACAAAAGTTGATCATATCCGATCGCACCTTTTGTGATCATTTCAAATAATGGTATTTCGAGAACGCGTAACTGTGACGTTGCGTAAATGCATTTGCAACTACCGTACAAGGTGATTTTGTTGGTCGTGTATATCAAGATAGCAGTCTCTCAAGAAAGCTGAGAGAAAAACGTCGTTGCTAGGTGAAGCAAGTGCCTGGCCGATTGCGCTTCTAACAATCTATTTTCCCTCGGCAGCTGGAACCGTACGCATATTTGCGAATACAAAATAAACGAGCACGTATGCAGCTGCAACTTGCTCAGATGGTATTAACATATCATCATTTTCAGAACGTTTAAAGGGAAAGGGTCTGTCGGCCAGAGCTAGCTACGGCACTGTGAGAAAGTCACAGGCCAGCAGAGACTTTGTCGTCGTTTTCGTTTCGCTTTGTCTCCGTATTCCGCGTAACCGCGACCCGCGTCTAGATAACTGCGTATCATTTCTGTGCAAAAGACGTTCCATGTACACGCGTGTGTACATTCGATCCATAGAGCGACGCAAATACTTCTTTCTATTATTAACTATAAAAATGCAAATGATTAGCTAGAAACTTGTTAATATCCGCGCGTTTGTACGTTGTTAGCTCACAATTTAATACGCATAAGTTTCTAATTACATTGTGTCTCACGAGACGCGACTTGTCGTTGAATAATTATGCATACTCGGATACTACGGTACGTGTCTCTAATAACGATGCCACGGAAACGATTCTTGGATGCAGCACGTGGCTGCACCATCGTCGTCCGTTAGTATAAAAATACGTTTGAGCGCTCAGTTGCTCGTACGTCCACTTCCACCCGAAATACCGTACAATATTCGAAAATATGACAGTCTTTTCGATTCAAGACTGTAATAAACGTCCAGCTGGAAATTGTTGAATATTCCGTATAATTGAAATGCCTGCGCTCCAAACCCATGGTTCTCCTTTGATGACTATTAGAAAAGGAATTGACGGAGTCATTATGTAATCCTTGTGTCAACGATACTTGCAAAGATTGTCGAGCCACGAGCATTTCCGTTTCTTTCATACAAACGAACGAATTACCAAAATTTATTATAATCAATATTATGAAGAAGGAAGTGAATAACGAATAATTTCCGTGTTTGTAATTAATTCTATGGATACCAATACGGTTTTTTCACAGATAAAAGAATACATCTGTATCTGACTCTGTCCCGCATGAATTATTATCTGTTCTTCCCGCACGCCGTGCGTATAATCAGTTGGTTCCCTCGTGACCGTGCTCTTGACCGTCAGCCACCATGGCTGCATTTTTGGTGAACCAACACTGTGCCTTACTGTACCTCGTATCATGCGAGAGGAAATTAATTACAAACATGAATTAATGAGCAATAAATATTTGAAGAAAATTAATGGGAAAACCATTGCAAACGCGATTGGTAGGCGACAATCACTTCTGGCTATCGCTTCGTTTTATGTTTCATGATTTACAAACAATAAAACCTTGTAAATGTTTATTGAACGTTATCGGATGGGCGTGCATTCAGTTCTCATTGTCGCAAGGAAAAACCGTCGCGATTTTACTGGCCGTATTACATTTTTGCGTTATACTTTTCCGTGGTCATTTAATTTCGAACGATCGTAAGTCGTTCACGAATCTCGAGCGGTACCAACGTTTATGGCGTCGCCGTTAATATGTATGTCAAGCATAGTGAATCGAGATACACTTTCCCTGCTTTCGCGCCTATCCACCGTCCAAGACGCGTTCGCTGGCTACCGAGCATTGTCCGAGGTGGCCAGGAGTGAAACCGGAACTCGTGAAAGTTCCAAAAAGATTGATTCGAGTCGAGAAAATTGCATCTATGCGTACATTAGACAATTAACAATTATAATACTGTTTTCTATATTTATTAACCTGGAATGTAGTCAGACTTCCGCTGCTTATTTTGTTTGAACCAGGATAACATCCAAATATTTATTTGACGTATGAAAATAATCTTTAGCGGAGATAACCCTGGAAGATGATCAAAACAAAAATTGTGCAATCGTCCCTTCTATTTGACTGTATAATGAATGAGCAGGCAGCGTGTATGCGAAAAAAACCGGTTCCATCGATGCTGAATCATACCTAAAACCTGTCGACTTCTTTCACGTCCACATTCGTGGTGACGTATGTTCCCACACGCGAGCATAAGGAAAACAATCCGTGTTTAAACAAATTATCTTTGGATACTTTATCCTACCATTATTCATTATCACGTTGTAGCGTACGTTCGGGAATTCCGCTAATTTGTTACACAATTATGCTGTATTTGCTTCGTACATAAGTATTATAATGAAATTAATAGAAGTTACTGGTCGATGCAGTAATTGCTAAGATACCAGTTGATATAGAAAAATTGTTCATATGCAAATGTGTCAAGATTCAGAGATCTCCAATTCAGATTTAGAATGCAATTTGCGTGCATAATTGTAGGTAAGAATTTCGCCAAGGGAAACTCGTTGCATTCCCATGCGCGAGATCCCATTCGCGGTCTGCCCGCGTGGAAAATATTCGTTGCTAAACTCGCGATTATTTTGTAATTCGGTAGTTTCTCACGCGTACCACAAAGCTTTTAGCTACAAACAAGGCAAGACGGCTATATAGCGGCATAGCGCGTGCATCCTGTTGCCGCAAAAGTTTCACTTGAATTTTCATGAAATCTCGGCGCCTCCTTAACACGAAACGATTTCAACGATTATATCATGCAGGATTACAACGTATATCGGCCTTCGATATCGTGTCGCGTTCGGCAAACCCAATTAATCGCGGTCGCGATCAATTACGAGAAAAAATCGCATCGACCGGAGGGATATAAATGGATCTTGTCGCAAGAATACAGGCTGTCCTTCCCCTCGGTGATCCGCGGTAAAAGAGGATAGACAACTTTGGTCTCGTGGCTGGTACCGCCATCCTCTTATCCCTTCTCGCTCTATCGAATCGTCTATCGTTCCTCATCGCGCTTCTCTCCTTTTCATAATTACTATTCTTTTTTTCTAAATCCAGATGATTCTCTCTTTCCTTACATAAATTGTCAAATTCTTTACTCGTTCCTAAAAATGTTAAAACTCAAAGGAAGAGTGTATGGATCATGAGACCACATGGTACCATCAATATCTTTTATTTCATCTCGATCCATCAAGAACGTGTTAAACAAAAATTACAGAGTAATCTTTAATATCGTAAATGCATCGAGAAGGGACATCTGTCTCGAGCGACAGTCGATGGGAGACTCGAAAGTAGGCACCTATAGCTCGGTATAAGAGAGGACTCGACCGTGGCTGGTACCACCACGCTATCAAGTCCTCTCGTTCTACCTTGATAATCTAGCAGCAACAGAACCGATTCGACTCCCACGACTGGTTCCGCCAGTCGCGTCGGTCGAGATCGTTTGCGCTCGGGCCTGCTCCGGTACCATTTGCCGCTTCCAAGCTCGACTTTGCTCGTTTAATCAACGTGCGCGCCGATCAGTCCACCATGAGCCGTCGACCGGCTCGCGTTCCTTGATTCTTCTTTTTTTTTATTCATCACATACAACTCCCCGTTTCGCGGATTGGCATGTGCGTGTAAAATTCGTTTCCCTCGGATTTACGTATTTATTCAACGATTATTTGACTCTGGGTGAGAATATTTTAATTATTATTAAATATTAAAATTCATACGCCAGTTGAATCATTCGTACGTTCACCTCGTAGGATTCTGTTTGTCTCTGTCTGTAGAACATAAAGTCGATACGGATCATTGGCGGAAAAATCAATTTCGTTTGCGATTTCACTTTTCATTGACCAACAACGCGAACGACCCGAGAGGTTTACGAGCAAGATTACGTTGTGTTCTTTGTAAGTGAAATCCTCTGGCTCTTCTTAAACGTTCTACTTTCTACCAGGGCCGTGCTATTTACTTTCTTGCATGGAAGCTGCTCGAGATAAAATAGTCTTTGATCGCGACAGGCGTACGTAGACATGGACAGTCTGGTTACTGCGAATGAATAAAACGTATAAAACATTCGATATGGTGTTAAGTAATTGGTTCATTAAAAATGTTCTGTCAAAGCGACTGTTTACGTCTGCATGTCAGACTCCTTTGTGTTGTCAGTGCGTTTAAATCTAAATTTTAAATCCCCACTGTCAATAGCTTTAATAGATTTAAAAAGACGCACGATACTCGGCCGCGCGTGCGGTTATCGAAAGGTCTAATGTCAGAGGTCGATATGGAAAAGAGCACGACTTTGTCGAATTGAATCGTGAGAGATAACCCGACTGGCGTCTCTGTTAATTCCTTCTATCGTCACAATTTTAAACGCGCAATAAATCAGTCGGCACGCGAAACTGTGCGAAAGAATTATATCGTCTAAAATGATCCATTTTTACAGATGGAGACACGACTGATAGCGTTACGCGATGATTTGCACTTATACGCGAGTTAGCTGCGTTAAATTTTCCTCCACTTTATTTTGTTCGAAGCCCTAACAGAATAAATAATGCTTCTCAATTAAGGCAATCATCTTCTAATTTGACGCAGTAATTAAAACTCGTGGGAACGGAGACAATTTTTTTTAATTGAAACGAGAAACGGGTTTAACTGGAACAGAATGAATTTTTTCCACCGCTGTTGGAAAGCATATACAAAAAGGATGTATCGCCTCGAGCATCGTACCGGTAAATCGTTCAGAGACCGCGTTTCGTTTTTTCTTCTAAGTATCTGGGTCAGGATCACGATCGACGGTGTTCCTTCCCGAAAATAAATCAGACGCATCACGCTTGAAGGAGGAGAAAGTGAGATTAGCTATTTTCTAATTGTCTGCATCCGCTGGAAAAATAGGAACAATCATAGTCGGGCAATCATCGCTGTTGAACGTAAATTAATGCCGGATTTTCCTGGGTAATGGTTGTGATGATCTCGAATTTGTTCCTCTCTCGTTCCATGCCTTAGCGAGCTCGCATTCGATTTCGCATACTTTCGATTAATCCCCTTTGAGTTTCTAATTAGAAGGCCCCTGTCCGCTTGTCATTAACCCAGGCGTCTGTCAGAGGATCGACTCCTTCGTTTTGCTGAAAAGTACGGACGAGCACGAAAAGTGCATGAGGCCTAATTTAATGGATGAATTATATGATACGATGAACGGCAGAAGAGTAAAACTCAGTGGGGGAGTCTCACCTTGAACGTTACGCAACTCGTTATTAACATATGCATGTAACTTCGTCTGGGGTTAGTTCGTAGAAAAGCTAATCGACTGCGAACGATGTCTGTCTTGACGAGCAATTAGAAAATTCCACGCAGCTTCTCTCGGTACACTTTTTTCTCTGGTTACCAGAGCTGAATCCTTCGTGTGTTCACATTCTCTAACGGTCGTCTAATAGAGTAATTACCTTGACTCGTACAGTTAAGTTCGCGTGTTACGAAACTTGAACCCTTTAACCAATGTCCACAAGTACTTTCCAGTTTTCAATGAAATATTCCTTGATCAAGGGAAAACGTTATCAAACAAATTTATCGTACAATTTTTCCTTAACGACTTATGGATGGTCATTGTTCGAGGATTCACGCTGACGTTCCTTCACCCGAGAAGGAAATGCAATATTCAGTGTGACGAAAGTTTGCCACGCGTTGCTTCCGTCATCAGGAATTAATTCGCGGCTCGTACGAAATTGGTGGCGAAAGTTGTTGACATTATCCGTGGTACCTATTAGTAATACGCAGTCTCAACGATGCACATATATGCGCTATGCCAACGTTTATTCATTATTCATGACGAGAACTTCTCGGTAATTATACATTTTAATGATTTCTAAATGGACCGTCTCCTCTCCAATGACTGACGTTGTTCTCCGTAAAAAAAGATCGCATATTTCTATTTTTAACAAATGTTGAATGGAAAAGATATTTTAAATCTCGGAGAGAAATTCTTATCTAGATCTCATCTCTTCGAAACATTTTTCGTTTTACATAAGTTACTGCAATCATGCTGGAATGCAAAAAGAGCCACACGATTCGTACACGGTTCACGATTTTCGCAAAGACAAGAGAGAAATCCGATGCGGCGCCTTGGCAATAGGGACACCCGCCTTGTCTCGCATTTATAATCATCTCGTTTCCGTCAGAACAGCGAAATGTACATCTGCTTCCTAGTTTTTACTTCGCAAGCGTTACCGGTATCTTCGAACAATTTTCAAACTCGTGACGACGCGGGTTTTAACATTCGTCGAATCGTTATGGCGAGGAACAGCCGGTGGCCTGACACGCAACAGGTGTTGCAGTCACCTGCTTGAAGCATTCATCCTCTGCATACAGGGTGAAACAAGAAAAAGCACTATAATGCCTGAATTTGTATTATTAAGTACGCCACGTATGACTTTTTTTAATATATTTCTTTATATAATAATAATTGAATTTACAATAGTTCCTATAATAATAAAATTACAATTACTAGTTAATAATGAATTACAGAAGTATGTTCGTATCCTGTAATTTGTGATTCATTGTGAACCTTTGTCTGGTATTCCGTAAAACTTGTTCGAAAATTTTCGAGGAGTAATTACCGCGAGTCTCTCAAGTCATTAGCGGCGTCTAATATTTTAAACCGATTCGTCCACCTCCTTCCTCGGGAACAATTTCCTTTGATGCGAGTTCCTCGTCCTCGTGACGAGCATAACGATGGGAAATCATTGTGTCACCGAGAACGATGGAACCCAGTTCTCATGAGTTCCAAGACCCCGACGAGTGTAGGCCGCACGCTATAAATCTAATCCGAGCAATTCACCGAATATTTTCTATTTCTTTCTTCGGTGGCAATATATTCTGGAGGGTGTCAGAAATTACAAACTTTTTCGTGCGACACAAAGTCCCGTAAGGCTGCCGCTCTTTAGTAATTCCCCTCGGTGGTATCAGTTTCTTCTGAACGGTAACAGAAAGTCGGTTCCAAAGTGAAGTGTGGGTGTGAGCAAGTCACGGAAAGGCACAGAAGGACAGGCGGGATACAATAGAGTAGAGACACAGGCCAGGCGGGCAGAAACTGCTGGTCCGACCTCTTTGCAGTCTACGTGGGAGGAATAGGAAGTCGTGCATTAAATCCGAACCTCCACCTTTCAACGCTTTAAACGCTTCTCTCAAATAGAATGCAGAGGATAGGTTACCGGCATGAACCGGCCGGCACGGTACAAAAGCCAGATCGTGATTGCGCTCATTTTTCAGTTAACATACGAAGAATTCCCTTCTTTCTTATTATTATCCCTTTATCCAATTCAAGCCAAATGAGTAGAACACAAATTCAACAAAAGATCGTATCAAGAACGACGAATCTCAAAATTATTCGCATTTTCCTCTTTAAATACATCCTCGTGAAAATAATTGAAGACTCGCGGTAATGCTTTGATCATGTAATTGCATTCGCTTCTTAAAATAAATCTGCGTTTTAATAATACACGCATGCAAATGTAAATAAAGAATGCTGTTTACTTTGTACGATACAATGAACCACGAGATTCTTTGAGTAACGCGTCAATGCAGATTTGATCTAATTGAATATACCAATGGGCGAAGTGTGAATAGTGTCATGTGCAAGATGATGAAACGCGAAAGGATTCAGCCTTCGTGTCCAAGGCTGACTGGCTCGATGGCGAACAATCGTCTGCACTTTAAGCCGGTTTTAACGTGCTTTACCAGTACTCCAGCTCCAGGAACAATGAGCTACATAACGGTGCTCGTTATAGAGATCTTTCCCGATCAACAAGAATCCCGGGAAAATGATCAGTGATCAGTAATAATTATGCGGTGATTTTATGCGAGAAAGAAAATCTAGTTTGCGAATCAAAAGCGATGCGTATTATATCTTTGAGCGTTCCATATTTTATACACGTTCAATTCTGCGTATGATCTAATTACAGTTCTCCTTCAATTATATTTTTGTACTAATACGTGTGAACACGAAATACTTGTGAATGCCAGCAGAATTCTTAATCACAGGAAGTGAATCCCTGAATGGATGCATATTTATATCATTCCACAGGATACATCGCCTCGCGATTATTTTATCTTCTATCACACGTCGATTGCATAATCGAAACGAACTCGAGGAAAAAAAGAAACTGTTCGTCGAGGCACTTCCCACGTTTCATAGTGAAAAGTTGTTCGGTTTTCGTATTACGTAAAAAGCTATACGCATTTTAATCGATTCTCGCCTTTTTTTCGTTGCACTCTGCGCGAACGCGACTTTCTGGATTTTAACAAATTGAAAGCGTTACATTTTTATTCTATGTTTCCAGGTGTCGAACAGTGAAAATTGAAGACCCGACAATATGAGGAACTCAACGTTACTGAAATGGGCGCAAAATTCGGCAAACAGCAAAAGTCAAAATAATAAGAACGGTTGGTAGATTAAACGTTATGCCGAAAAATAAAAGTTCAATCGAGAGATACGTTTATGGCTGGTTCGTTCGTAAGATCGATCTATTCTGTTCGCAGGGACGAACAGGAACTGGATACACCCACCGGATGCGCTTCAGAAAGGCCACATCGCCTATTTAGTCAAGGTACATCACGTTTTCGATTATAATAAAACCAAACAATCGTCGCTTCCTTGAATCCGATTTGATTGTTTATAAAGTGCATGCCAAAGTTTTAACGATATCAAGAGAAATGCAACGAGATCGAGGAAAATAAACGATCGGTCGATACTTGCCCAGATATCGACCTTTCTTGAAAAGTCCAAGGCCGCAATCGTCAAATAAAATTGCAGGCGATGCATCGTAGAAGTAAACTTAAGAAATAGAATTCCTAAACTTCGACCTCTTGATCTGCAGCTTGTCTATCCAAATCTTTTAGTTGCAAGAGGAAATAATAATTAAAAAAAGAGAAGTTTAAGATTTATCGTAACCATTGTCCTTAGCTATTATTGAGTAAAAGAATGTTTTCCTTATATTCATCGTTCCATGTTTACCTTCCTCCTTTTCCTTGTTTTACCTCCTGTCACTTGAAAAAGTTGCGTAATTCTGTTGCGGTGTATTCGCCGCTGCCTTTCATTTCTTTTCACGAATTGCCATCACCGTTCACGCGCGTGCGAGTGTCTCTTTCAGAATACGCATCCAGGAATGAAGTCGGAACGCGCGAAAGTTCATTGTACGTTTCGCGAACGTTTAAATTTCACTATTACCGAAACGTCGTGACTCGTCTTGTATCTCTTGCTTTATTCCCAATATGATGCAAGGTTGCTCTACATACGATTTGATATCGAGCGTTTTAAGAAGGCACGTTCGAAAGATAAAACAATCATTATTACGATGTACTAATTGCACGAGAGCTTTATGTTGGTTCAATAGATGTTTGATACCGCCTTGACCATTGATCCCGATGTCATATCTCGTACGTCAGACATGCAATTACTACGGAGCAATGTTTTATGATAATTGTGACAAATGTATGCAATCGAGAAATGCGGAGAAAAAATGTGGAATGAATAATGAGATGCAATATCGCAACAATTGCGTGGTATCACGGTTACGGTAATTTTCAGTACTTGGGTAGCACAGAAGTGGATCAGCCGAAAGGGATCGAGGTCGTGAAGGAAGCTATTTGTAAACTGAAATTCAATCAACAATTGAGGAAGAGCGAGGGTACAAAGACGCCAAAGGTGGAACTGACCATAAGCATCGATGGAGTCGCGATTCAAGAACCCAAGACGAAAACGTCGCCAAAGGTATTAATGCCCTCTTTTATATGAAACTGCTCCGATACTTAACAGAGTATTTGAACGGATCTTTGTACACTTCAGCGGATTATGCATCAGTATCCACTGCATAGAATATCTTACTGTGCCGATGACAAGGGCGAAAAGAAGTTCTTCAGTTTTATTGCGAAGGAGGAAGGCGCCGAAAGACACACGTGTTTCGTCTTCGTCAGCGATAAGCTAGCCGAAGAAATAACGTTAACCATCGGGCAAGCTTTCGATTTAGCATACAGGCGGTTCTTGGAGACGTCCGGGAAAGATTTGGAGGCGCAGAGACGCTGTATGGTGTTGCAACAGAAGATAAAACGACTGGAGCACGAGAACAACGTGTACCGGCAGCGGTTACAGGACATAGCTGCTATCAAAGGATCGGTCAGTTATACTCAAATTTATGTTGTTCGAAACCTGAGACATAAGCACTTTATGAGAATATTTTTCTTTTACAGGCCGACGTTTCAGCGTATCTGTCGCAACACAATCTTCCGGACATCCTGCACGTGCCTGGTGCCACGAATGAAACGGCTCAAGTAAACGGATCCACTGGCAAATCTGCCGGTGGTATAAGTAACGATAGCAATGGGAACACATCCAATGGATCGCCACAACCACCGCCAGTTCCACCGAGAAGCTTTGAGAAAAGTTTCGACGATAACTTTATGGGAAGCGCTTCAACGCCTGCGGTTGGTACCAAATTGGAAGGACTGCTGATGGACGAATTCGAAGAAGACTTCAATCCCAGAGCATACGAAAGTGCCGTTAACGGTCTAACGAATCATCAGACTAATCATAACTCCATTCTGAATGGTCAGGTGTCCTCGAACTTCTCGCAGAGCAACGGTTCTACGAGCCCTCCGCCATTACGTATGTATCCCTTGTTCATCAAGGCGTTGCTAATAGGCATTAAATGCTTGACCGTGCTGTTTTTTATTCAGTGGCACCACCGCCAAAGGCAAAGGATTCAAGACGTCAAAACGGTGTCAAAGAAGACTTGTTCGGTAGTATCCCTTTCAATCCTGCACCGCCTGTGAACACGAAGAATGAATTCAACGATCCGTTCGAAATGGGCGAGTTCGGAGCTGCGACAACGATTTCTAATCCGAGCCAGCAAGAACTAGAGAATGCAATCGGTCTTTTAGATAAGAAGCTGCTCGAGATGAAGGTATAAAGTAACAAAATTAATTTAAGAATCACGTTAATAATTTGTTTGTTACAGGATGGATTTAGCAGAGGTCTTTCCATAGATACCGACGATTTCTCGTTGGAAAGCTTGGATCCGCTGCGGAACTGAACGGAATGTTTTCTTCATATGAAAAAGGCAATTGTTCGTAACCATGTGTTCGTTGCAGAGAACGTCTAGAAAACGGATAGGCAAATTAGGAACGTACATCTATGCGAAACCAAATTAGTCAATTATTATTAATTATGCTAATCTTATATTTATCGTGATGTTTGATATTTATCATATGCCTATTGAATATCGATCGTAGCTTAAGTCGTCCGAAGCAGAGATTGCCAATTAGGAGCAAGCATGGAGAAGCGAGTGGTATTGGTGACCGTGTCGTGCCTTTATTAATACTGTTTCTTTCTATCATCTATTTTAACAGCGAATAGAACGATACAAGAAATTTTATTAGGATTTCCTATGGCAAATTTTTTAAATGATACATTCTTCTTAGGAACCGAGTACCGTGCCTTTCATTAGCATTAATAAGCAAAGTCGAAAATTAATCTTTTTAGATATTTTAAAGTTATTATTTGTAACTTATGAATGCAGTAACCCGTTCTTGATATATCTCCTTATTCCCTTTCCCAGGAGCGTGAAACTTGGAATCGTGCGATCGATGAGTAACAAAAGATAATTATGGGATGCCTTCATTATTATTGCAGAAATCACTGAATCTCTTTCCTGTATCTTTGTTTCCCTCCATCCGTTTTCCATGGTATTCATTAAAGATCGTATGGATTATCGAGGAAAGGAAGGAAAGTGTAAAATGGTATGAATGCTGTGTAAGATTTTAGTCGCCAGTTTTACAAACACTTATGCATGCGAATGTTATGCAAATCTTGAGAAACATACAAGTTAATGTTTGATAGGAGAAAGTTTATTAATTATGTACATACGAAATGCTGTTTTATTATTGTTGCTCTATTGTTTAAGCATTATCGTTAACAATATAATGCGTAAATAATGTAGCTGAAAAATCTTGTCTTATTCAATCCGTATTAAATGTTCAAACGTAAACGGGGAACTTGAATCACGAACCTAATATATGTTCCTTCGTTTGTGTACGTGAAGTGTAGATTTCCGATGGTTTCTAAATTATCGGCGGTAGTCGGTAAACGGCGCGAAATCATTTTCAATCTCTTGAAAATTCCAAAGCGCGTCGCCATTGTCATAAACGTGGCGCGGCACGCGCTGCGTCAGTATTCCGCGAGCTTCGATCGCGTTCTGTTGCAGTTAACCGTTGAAGCAGGAACACGTCCCATTCGATAGTGAACTGCGGAGTATCTACGAGAAACAGTGTCTTTCGTTTCCAACTGAGGAATAGCCGAATTCGAAGGATGGCGGACGACAGTCACGAGAACGGAACGAGCAATGGCAACGTGCCCGAGATCGAGCTGATCATCAAGGTCAGTTTGTGAAACCACCGCGTGCGTGCATAATATATAAATATACATATATCAGCGACGAGGATAGTAAGAACAGATAGCAAGGAAAAAAGTCCGATCAGTCCGTTCCGTACGCGATATGGGCGTGGAACGGTTTTCTTTCTGTACTTTCTTCCTCTTCTTCCACTCGACGTTTCTTCTCCTTCCATATCCGGCGATCGCGAGCGCCGCCGAAACGGGCGACCGTTTCGCGACAGAGATCCGTGTGCATCCGTCGTCTACCCGTTTCGGAATTGATCTCGCGGAATGACCATTGACCTTTAACGAGCAACGTCCATCAGACACATGCTCCGGTCCTCCCTTTGTCCCCTTCGCACCTTTATCCGCGGTTCCTTCGCGGTCGATCAATTCCGGCGATCTATCAAACGTCTCCGCAAGATTCGGTGACAATAAGTTGGACTTTGCTTCGTACATGATGGCGAGGCGTCGAGCTTTTCGCGTTCGCCGACCAATAGTTACAAGCACAAGAGCCGTTGACGAACGTTTGCATACGTAATAACGCGTGTAATACGTGCACGGACAGACCGACATATAACGCTACTCGAAATAATACATGCATACGTAGAAACGGTATTCTGGTTGGCCGCGTTTTCTACGTCATTCGGCTCCTCCGAAGAAAGAAACCCTTGACTCTCCTTATCTCGTGGCACATTTTCACGTTCACGCATTCCTTTCCTTCGGTTTCCTTTTACTCGCGCCAGCATCTTCGCGCCTTCTTTTCCCGCGTGATCCGTCGTTACAGCGAAGCTGCCTCGTGTATGTATATGTACGTCGTCATATTCGCACCGGCCGTATATTCATGTAATGAGATTAGAAGCATTTATACATGAGCGAACTAAGAACGAGAAAACAACCGTTGGAAGGTTCCACTTGGTTCTTAAGTACGTAATCGGTGAACCGCGAAAATCGACCTTTGCTCATCGATTTTTCTCTACCGTGATCGAAGGACACGGAATTGATTCCTTAGATATATCAGAATCTATATTAAATTCTTGTGTCATGGATATTATCTATTAAAGAATGAACAGGTAATCTCGAAGAATGACTTTTCTCTGTAACATAGATAACCATTGTAACGCTCGAGAGTCGTCACTTCTTTATTAGGGGTATGATAATTTAGATCCGACCGTTTCCAACATGCGCCTATCGGATTAGATGCGATAAGATTAGCGTTTGGCATTGCCTTAAATAGTCAATGTAGAAGGCTTACGATTAACAGGTGAAACAGCCCCGGCGGTAAATCCGGTCTGTGTGCTTGGCGAAAGTTTTAATCGATAACTCGTAATTGGACAATCAGGAGGAGAGCCTCTTTCCCTCTAAGGACACGATTTCCTAGAAAATATGGTGAAAGACCGTTCCAAGAACTGGAATCGAGTTCGTTCTCGATTAAATCGATCGTACGAGTTCAGGGTGATTATCTGTCTCGAGAAAGAAAAATGCAGGGCTTCGAAATAACACATTTATCAGAGCCCGAAAGATTGTTTCTAACTCGATTTCTCAATTTCGCTGTCCAACATCTCGCGGCCAAGAGTCTCTTCGAGGAATTCTAGTAAATAAAAAATTGCATGCTCCACGTAGACCTGATTTTCATGCTTCGAATGCCAGCGGATTTTTTCAATTGCTCGCGAGAGAAAGAGAACGCCTTATAAGTAGAATCGTGAGGGGTAACGGCGACATTTCATTACGAGAAGAGATTTAATGGTAACTGGCCGACCTTGCACTCGGAAGGCGATCATGCGAGGTCTTGGTAAGTGTGTCAAACGGGATGAAACGACGGCGAGCTTGGTTGGTCCTCAAGATTCTACCGTTAAACGATGAACTCCTTACACCTTCCGCTTTCCTCGCTCTTCTGGCTTTCCCCCGTGCGTAACATGTCTACACCTCCCTCCCCTCGTCCTTGCCGTTCTCCGATTTACTTCGATTCCACGTGACCGTGAATTTTTTAACCGTTTAATCCTCCTGTCTCTCGCGGAATGACTCACATTTGTATTTTATTTCCACGGTGAGATTGACGCGTTGATGATACCATCGAAGAAAAAGGCTGGCACAATGGAACAAAGTGGGGGTAGGGAATGATAGGTAAAAGATGATTTCTCGAATATCGCGAGAAATCCGATTCGTTTTGTAATGACAAAGTGGATGCAAACATTCCCTATTGAGGAAGAAGTATCGTGTGACCGAGTGTGGTTATAAAAAATCGATGGGATGTTGCGGCTTAATCTTCCTTAAGGCCGTTACGAGTGTACTCGGTCAGGAATATTATGTGTTTCGATGTTTTCCAGCACGTTGTAATCTTTCTTTGAACCAGTTCAAAGAAGAAATTGCACGTATCTGCGACGTGCATGTTCACGTAAGATATAAAGGATAGACGTGCATGCGTTGTTAATGCATGTATTCGTAATTCTGTATTCGCCTATTTACCGTTTTACGTACTGCGTTAATACTGTTAATACAGATGACGTGTTCCACTCGTGAATATTGTTCCCTTCTTACACGCTGTGTCCCGAAGCCAAAGCACTCTAATCGCATGTACAGATAAAAGCTAGCGACAGCTTCGAAAACCGCTCGATGCGTTTTATCGGTAAACCTGTTCGCTAGTCAATTCGAAACGGGAATTCCGTGTAGGTGCAACGATGCGCGGTGAAACGAAGAATTTGCTTCGATCAACCATCAATCAGACACCTCTGCATTTCGGTAGCTTGCTAAGCAAAAATTCATAGCCATACTCGGACTCCGAACGAACAAAATACCTCGAAGAGCGAGTGTGAATGAATATATTTGTACGCCCGTTTAAAATTGTTGGATTCGCGTTCGCTGAGCTTTTACGCTCGGTCGTGTCGAGAAAAGTATATTACATATAATCGAATTTTCAAGCGTTTAAGAGGAGAAAGGAAGCAACAGGCACGCGGTCGAGCAAGAGATTTACTCTTGCGTTAGAAAATGAAAGACGTTCGATGCATCCGTGACATTTGATCCACCGCTTTCCACCGCCACTGATATTTCACGGCACGAATACCTCTGTCGATTTTCAGAGTTGATTGAACTCGCTTTAACTCCCAGCGGTTCTTGTCGTCGACGATTTTACTGTTTCCTCCTCCGACATTCTCGTACAGATCGCGTAATTCTTAATTACTCATCCGGTTACTCATCATATTTTCAAAAACAAGGAACTGACCAGGCGCAAAATTACTTGGCCTTGGCTAAAAAGTTGCCGAGCTTGGCACACGAGAAATCCTCAAGGGTGACCGCACGCTCGCATCGTTCGTTCTCAAAATTTAAAGGTCTGGCTTACGTCATCGCGAAAAAATAATCGGCCTCTGTTCCTTATTACCGGAGATCAGATGCCGAACAATTGAACGACGTTGTTTCGTTTCGAAGAAATTTAAAATCAAACTCGTACCGTTCTTACTCTCCAGTTCAGATATGTCAGGTGGAAATCAAATGATTTGCTGAAACGGATTAAAAATAGAAACGATGTTTGTGTGGCTGGAACGTCGCCAGGCTTTAATTTACTCAAATTGTATCGACACTGGTCAGTTTTATTTTCAATAATTAATATATTCTTTAATTATTTTGCGAGGCGCCCGTGGTCCAGTGTAAAAATCGCTATGCAAATCATTGTCGCAATAGGAAAGATTTTTACTCCTTAATAGGCTTAGAATAAGATTTCTTTTCATAACTAAGCGACGTAAAGCTTGTAAGCGTACCTCGAGAAAGAAAGCAGGGTGCGTCATCGAGGAGAATAAATAAACCGTGACAACCGGGAAAATGAGAGCGGCGCGGCGCGAGTACTCTCAACTCTGCTCGTTCAATCGGAGAAATCGTTTTATTTTCCGGATTCGTACATTTTTTTTAGCAACAAACAAGATAGGAAAGTAAAAGTTAATTTTCTAATTATTGTATCGTAACAGGCATCCACGATCGACGGTCGTCGAAAGGGCGCCTGCCTCTTCTGCCAGGAGTATTTCATGGACCTGTATCTCCTTGCCGAATTGAAGACGATCTCCCTGAAAGTGACCACAGTGGACATGCAGAAGCCGCCGCCGGATTTCCGCACGAACTTCCAAGCCACGCCACCGCCGATCTTAATCGACAACGGTGACGCGATACTGGAAAACGAGAAGATCGAACGGCACATCATGAAGAACATTCCTGGTGGCCACAACCTCTTTGTACAGGACAAAGAAGTAGCTACCCTCGTCGAAAATTTGTTCAGTGTACGTATATGTATAAATATAAAAATGATTTTATTTTCTGGCTGAAACATTCTGGACTAACGGGGGATATGTTCGTAATTTCTGTTACAGAAATTGAAATTGTTATTACTTAACGCAAAGGACAAGGATAAGGACCCGAAGTCCTCCTCGCTGATGACGCACTTGCGTAAAATCGACGAGCACCTAGGTCGCAAAGGTACTCGTTTCCTCACAGGGGACACGATGTGCTGTTTCGACTGCGAGCTGATGCCGCGGCTTCAGCACATCAGGGTAGCCGGCAAGTACTTCGCGGATTTCGAAATCCCGGAAACCTTGGTGCATCTGTGGAGATATATGCATCACATGTACAGGCTGGACGCTTTTCTACAAAGCTGTCCGGCGGATCAGGACATCATTAATCATTACAAGTTGCAACAGGTGGGGAGCAAGGATAAATAAATTGTCGGTGGAATTTGCAAGGAGCGTGTTTTTTTCGTTTTTATTACACCGTTATTAATGGGTAACCGCAATTGTCGTTACAGAGCATGAAAATGAAGAAGCACGAAGAGCTGGAGACACCAACCTTCACGACGAGTATCCCGATCGAGGTCAACGACGACTAGGCTGGCCCTCAGCCGTCGGGTCTACGATCTCGTTGCTTCGACGCAGGAAAATATCGTTGGCATCGGTGTGAATGCGAACAGGGTGGCGCGTTCTCTGCGAATGTTCTTCCAATCCAACGGATGATTCCATCCATCGAGAGTCTACTATTTTATAAAGAGTGCTCTTACTAAGAAAAGGCAAAGTAAAGGTCAAAAAGTCCAGGTCGAACGCTGCCTTATACCGATTTCTATAACACATTTTGCTACGCATATTTGATAAATTGTCATCGACATTCTTTTATGGCCTAAACAAATACGATGCAAAACAAGTAGCTTTTTTACCGCAGGAGGCACGAGGAGGATACGTATAATAATAAGTGTACTATGGCTTTCGAAAACGAACCTGCAAACCTGTCCAGGAAACTTACATTATTTTGTTTCCCTTTTCGTTTTCTTTCCGTTTCATTTTTTTTTTTGTTTTGTTACGTATACATCACGTACGTAAACCTCATTTAAATAGAATTGATTTTAGAAAAGGAAAGTATTTTAAAGGACTAGCTAATGACGAGACGTTCAACGAGGTAAACAAAAATGCAAAAGAAACGTATGCATTTATTTTTTCTTTCTTGTTTTGAAAAGTGCATTTGTCGTGGTACAATAATAAAGTGACTGATCGATGATCGCTGTACATTCTCCGTCTCCGTCATACTCCTTCATCGTATGTGCATAATCCGAATGAGGGAAAGTATTCTAGTCTAATTTATCCCGATTTAAATTCGTTGTTCGAACAATTTTTGAAGTAAATAACATTCGGGCAAATGTCGATGCATACGTTTCCTTCGAATTTGTAATTGTTTCTTACAGATGCTGTATTCTTTGATTTAAAGAAAAATGAATCATCGTTTGGGAAGCAGCAGACAGTGCTTAACTTTTAACTGATACAATTCAACGATCTAACAAACTTGGTATTAGTGTAATTATATTATTATTATTATTATTATATTATAAATGGTTATACTACAATTGTACTGTATTATTTTGGTTTATATTTGTAGAAATGAATATACCAGTATTTACAAGACAATTTCTACAGATATATTTTATAACACGATCCGGTAAAAACGAGCGTGAACGACGTCCCTATCCATTCGTGTGTACGTTTTAAAATAGCACGCGGTTTCCCTTTCCCTCGAATAGCGGCTATTACGACGTGTATTCCATTCATAAATAGGGAAACACTTGTCGTACAGCCACCATCTTGACTACGCGATCGACAGAGTCTCTTTCATTTTGTTGCTCGATAATTTCAATACTTTCGTTCGCGTCGTCGAACACGAGCAATTATTAAATAGAAATGAAACAGTTCACGAATACGGGAGAATATTTGTCGATAAAAGAAGCTGTATTAGGGAAATGTGAGTTATTCGTTTGATCCCAGTCGTTTCAGTACGCAGTGCACAGCTGATCAGTGGTTCCAACGGACGGTCGCCGCTCGTTCGTGCTTTGAAATCATCGATAAACGAGAGAGAAGTGGCTGTTCGCGTTGACTGCCCAGTGACAGTTAGAAATCGACGCACCGATACGTGAACAAAGCTGCGTAGTTTGCCAAGTGTCTTCCAGCGAGTGCTCGGAGATCGAACCGAGAACGTGCACTTGTTCCTCGTACCTTGGACATTTCCAATGGTTGCCGTCCGGTGAGTACGATTTAAAACTAAATTCAAGTAACGATCTTTAAGATAGAGTACCACCTCCGCAAGTTTAACGATCGCACGAACGTTTAACGTTGATATATTGACGTGAGAAACGAAAAGGGAAAAGCGAAGAACGATACGAGTCTTAATTACACATCCCGTTTCCCACGCACTGTGCGGAGAATATATTTACCTATAAAAAGATCCCCAACCTATTTCATAGCGTTTTATCCTTATCGTGGATTAAAATAGCGAAATCGAAAGAAATCTGAATCGAGTTATAGCGACGGTGTGTAGCGCGTATAACATATCCGAAATACATTTCACCGGATGTACATTAACAATTAGTGTCAATCTCCTTGTTGACCGATGCAACACGCGCATCGTTCAGAGTACGTGATCAAATTTCCGTTTATACATGTGTATCGCGCCTCTTCTATTTAGGTACGTTGTCATTAAACTTTCCTGTAACCTGTCTTTCTTTATCCCGCGTACAAACAAGGAAATGTCGTTGCTCTTTTTGGCAAACCGGTTACAGATACTTTCAAAAGCGATGAACTAGAGATAGCTCAGTATTTTCAATGATACTTCGTATAGACGTTCTGCTTAAATTATCGTTTGTTTGCGACGATTTCTGTACTACGCGCTGTTTCAGATTATGTAATCGTTCGTCAGTTTCTTCTATCGATATTCAATAGCCAGTAATTTGTACGGTCAATTAGCAAGAGAGGAGTTAGTGACGAATAACGAATATTATCGAAATTGCGAAAGACCGGTGTCGTGTGTATTCATAATTCGTAGCTTGCGTGGGTATAAAGCTCGTTTATTACTGGAATTAGATAAAAGATAGAAAAGAGTAAGGAAGGGTTTAAGCAGCGATCAACCGGGCTGACGTTTGGTACGCGAAAAAAGTATATTATTTTCAGGATAGTGTTTATTTTCGCCTCGGGCGTAACTTATCGTTGCTCTGCTTAACGTTAGGCATTGCGTCGTCCCTCTCTTCAATTATTATTCTTGGTTCCTTATTTTTGTCTGCCACTAACATCCGACGCACTTTTTTCTCTCTTGCTCCTTGCCTCATCGCAGCCTCCAGTCCTATTTACCACGTAGCGCTAATGTTCGCAAATTATACGCGGTTAGTGCTAATTTGCATCCGATAATATCACCTTGAAATGCGAATAATTCCGCGAAGACTCTTCCAATGATAATTGTTAGCTCGTTTCTTGATGACTGTCATTAGCGACAAACGGATAGCTGTACGCTGCTTTATGAAGCAACAGGTGTCGAACGAAGTTAAATAGAATAATCATACGATCTGTTAGGAAAAGTGCATTTTCAGTTTCTTGCTTCGAAAGTCAGTTCAAACCATTTGCTTCATACTTACGACTTTGGTTATTATATTTACGTGGTTTCTTAGTGTAACATCCATAGAACTTTGAAGCGATTCGAGGATGGTGTGAAAACGGGATCAGGGGATTTAACTGATTTAGAAAGAAATGTGGAAAATGATTCCAAATGCGTGAAGGTACTCGTGGAATTCGGTTTTCGTCCGCAACGGCAGGAGCAGACGAAAACAGCCACGATGTGTCTCCTGGGTATTTCATGACACAAATATCTTCCCGGCATGTTGGAATTTCGCTTTTCCTTTTTCGCCTGTCCCGACGAACGACGTTCTCGTCCCTATCTTAAAATCCCCTCTACGCCACTGATAGAAACATCCTGCGTGTCTAATGCAATTAAAAGATTACTTTACGATAAGGGAAATGACCTTCCGAGCACTCAACTTCGCATGGATTTTTATTATCTTCTCAAATAGTCCGACGTCCGTCAGTTCGCGCATCGCTTACCGACCCAGTGGTTGTTGATCGTTGTTTATTTTATTGTCCGGTGGAATCTCGCACGTGTCGCGTATTTTCGCGTCGACAGAGGATTCTATTTGGCAAAGGGATCTCGGCAGAGATTTGCACAATCCGCGACGGGGTCGAAACGAATTCGATTCGGTTTTGCATGCGTTTTCGCATCGAGTACCTGCCCACTCGTTTTCGTCATTCGCGTGTCGAACACCAGAATCTTGGCAGACTTTGTCAGTAAAAACGTTCATATTCAGATACAGTAGGGAACGATATGTAAAAGTAGCTTCACTGAGAAATTGTAATTTTCTTTGTATTAAACGCAAGGTCCGTTTTAACGATCCTCCAAGGTTTTTGATTCGCGTTTTCGTTCAGGACGAACGATCTGTGAACCGGCGGCTTAAACAAACGGGCGCCAGTGCCAATGAACAGTTTCCGGTTTGATTGATGCCTCACTCACCTGACACCGCGTGCTGCCAGGTGCGAGGTGACGGAAGAAAGAGATGCGAATTATTAATTCTACCTACCGCTTTATTCTCTCGCGTGGCCCGATGCCAAGTGCGAATTGCCCGCGTACAACTTTGAAATTGTTCATTTCCTCTACCGATGACCCTCAGATCGATCCTCTCCAAACGCGTATTCGATTCCAAAAAGGATTTACCGGAAAATGCGTACAAACCTGTGCCTTCAAAAAGGGATCGCAATCTTTGTAAAAGGAAGTCGATGGTAAAAGAACGAATTGCTATTAGTATTTATCTCCGGAACCAGTAAAAGTCTTCGCTCCTCCAATGTAACTGCAAAAGTTACGGACACGCGTGCACGCGTGGGAGCGTGGCACGCGCAGTGCCGGCTAATTATGTGGCACTCCTACGTACCACGCGGCACAGGTGTCCACCGTTTCTCTGACCACTGCCAATTCTGCGACGCAACGGGTGTCTTTAAGTTATCGACCTCCGGACGCTCACCAAACTTTTCAGTCCAAATTTGTTACCTCGACAGATCCGCGATTTCAGTTAATTTATGATAAACGTGAGGACAGGCGAAATGAATTGCGTTACGCTGAACGATATCACGTGGACGGAAGTCAGACGTTAGAAATAGGTACTGGAAGATCACCGAGTACGTGACCGTAGGTAGTTTCATCCGATGAATTCGGCTCCCTGAAAAATGGGTCAAACAGTCGCAGGTTTAAATAAAGAACGACGCGGCGTGGAAAGTACAGACGGTTCTTTCCTTTTTCCCAAAGGTGAGGAAGGGTCGCAGCGGTAATTGCAAAAACTTAGTTGAATTTTGTAAACGGTGTCACGATCTTATCGAGAACACGGTTTTTAATAAGTTATATGCGACCCGTAAGGGGTTGAGAGATCGGCGTGTCGTTAGCTGTAATTAAGAGGTCACAGTAGGAGACGCGGTCGCGTGAAATATTTCAGTACGTCTCGGACAAGATGAGACGATTTGCCCGCACGGCAGGTTCCACGGTATTCTCATTTTCTCTCACGACTTTGTCTCCATTAATTACATCTCCGTCCGCTCATCCGTGGCTGAATAATTTGAAACACTTTCCCGCGCTGAGACGAAACCTCACGAAACGTCGTATTTGGAGGCCATCCAAATCGTTTATCCGGTAAACTACAAAATTTCGACGATCTTACCAAATTCTTGATCCCTCCTACCGCTCTTAATCCATTCGTATTTTCCTAATTGTTATCACCGAACTGGTTATCCTATACCTATCCTATCCTATCCTATCCTCTTACATACTACATACAAATCCTAGATGCAAGCTAAATCGATATGAACTGCAAGTCGAACATATCTGTTCAGTGGGCAGGGCCTTAAATGCATAGAAAGTGATTAGACTAAACAATTACTGTATGAAATGTTGTATTAATATCAGTAGCAGTGTTTGATGCAAATGAATTGTCACTTTCTTTGTCCCTCGTTCATTGAATTCATACGAACGTGTGTAACGAGAGAACCCGGCGCCCACAGGTAGGCCTTGCCAGGAGGATGGGGGCCCACGATGGGGGAGTGCCATTGCTCTAATATCGCTATCATGCAGCTGTTCCATGAGCTGAAGCAGCAGTTCCCTGCGCTCCCTGATCACGTCGTTTCCCAGTGCATCGCCCAGGTATAGGTGCTCGCAGTCCTCCAGAAGGGAAAGAAAACCCGATTGAGCAGTATCGTACTCCTCGTACCTAACACGTTTCGAGAGACTTTTTACATTTATTATATCCGTGAGAGAAGAATTCTCGAATAACGACTAACCCTTGCATTTATTAACGATCATTGCACGAGCGTGGAACCTGTGTGTAAAGTTTTCTTTGCGAGCATAATGGTACCTCTTAATCAGCAGTGAATTCACCAAACTAAATATCTAATCCGACAGCGATTACTTACGCGCGCAATGCCCCAGCAACATATTTAACTTTTTGCGGTCCTATTATTACTCGCGTCAGGAGATTCTCAATACTTCTGCAATTTAACCCTTTCGCATTTTGACACACGCTTTGAAACGATATTATAAATTGTACGACACGATGCTTAAAATGTATCGCGTACGGACAGCCAAGATTGTTTCTCGCGGCTGGCAACGAAGAGAAAAGATGTTGCAACGGGGAGCATATTGTGTACAGAACAATTTGTTTGAAATGAGGGACACGTTTCCTCGTTTATATGCGAAGGGGTCAAAATTAGAGACGAGAAACCGTCGCTCGATAGGATCGCAAACGGTTAACTCGCCGCATCGCTCCTCCAGGAAGTGTCTAGCGTCGGGCAGTACACCCTGGCACGTTCGCAATCGTCGTTTAAAACTGGAAGAAGCAAGAAAGCGAGACTCATGACCCAAGCTGCGTACTGTGTCCGTTGCAGAACAGCCACGATCGAGAGACATGCGCGAGAAGTCTTCGCGCCACCCAAGAGTCACGACAGTCTCCGGGAGCGTTCCCACCGGCGGCACTTTGCAGCGGCAACAATCATCATCATCATCATCATCATCATCAACGAACGAACCACGTGGCTCAACAGCAGCAACGTTGCTGTGCGAACAACGGAAACGGGAACGCGCGACCACACAGACCGGCGTCGTTGGACATCGGAATGGCGAAACGGTGTCCTGTCGGGTGCACGCGAGCTGGATCCTCGCCGATCATGGCTAGCACGCCGTCCTCGGCACCGGCAGCTTGCACGACGCGCGGCTTCTTCGACGATTGTACGACGACGGGACCGAACGAACCAAATTGCCCTAATAAAGTCCCAAACGCAGGAAACGAACCAGCCGGATTCGAGCTCAACGTGAACGTCGCGTGTAGTCCTGCTGGCAATCGTGGTACGAGAATAAAAGATTGTAGAGATAATAGATTGCGCGTAACGATCTATGTATATACGGAAGATCGATAATTGAACAGGTTTTTCCCGTCTGCAAAGATCGCTGCGATTATGTAGCTTTACGCGGTGGAGATCCTGTATACCAGGTAGTCAAAGAACAATCGTTTGACCGTCGACTTCCTTTTATCTAATTCTTCACCGCTGAACATTTCATTGATACGCATAAAATATCATTACCTTTTGACCGCGGATGGTTTCCTGTGCACAATCTAATAGCGTTTCTCTTTAGACTTTCGAACGGTGCCTACAATCGGTGCCTGTAAACGAAGCGATCTGCTCCTCGAACCGTCGATACTGAACGTGGAAAACACGGGGCCGCAGATCGACCACACACGAAGCTATACCTCGGTAAGCCTGACGCTGAGACCACCGTGCTCGGAGCCGCAACCTCCGATCGACATAAGATCACAAGGCTCGAGTTTGACTTACTCGAGCTCGTCCCTGGATCCGAGGGGTTTTCAGAGTCGCCTGCAGATCAGCATCGGCGCCGGGGCCGTCGGCAGCGTGGCGGCTGCACGAATCAGACCTCCGATGGGTCCCAACAGACCCAACAGCTTGATACCACCACAAACCGGTCCTCAAAGACCACCAGGTCCGATATCATACCTTCGTACTTCTATGATACAGAACCGTATGAATAAACGAATGAGGTTTTATACAAAATACCAATATATTGTCAAAGGTCTCCCGGCGGGACCACCCAGTCAACTGCCGAGACCTACGACGACGATGAGCGCCCCGACGACACCTTCCGTGCCATCGACAACGAACATCGTCCCTCCCATTAGCCTTCCGACGACACCGTCAGAGCTAACGACGACCTCGCCACCCTCCAGTCCAGTTGGCGAACGGATACAGGCGGCCAATTCCGATCCAAATCGATCGCCGTTGAATCAAGGTAAAAAATAACATTTCCTTTATAAACGGATCACACAGTCGCAACGCGGTGGACGTTTTGTTTTTCCTTTCGGTATTCTCTTTAGATATTACAGGAATCGCGTGTACGTATATTTACCTGCGAGAATCGTTCCGTCGCGTATGCTGACGCCCACGCATGTAACACTGAGAACGATATTTACGCATTCCTGACCCCACGCTCCGTCTATACATAGCCACGCTTGCGGTTCCTCTACGTGGACCCACCTGATCCGGTTTTCCCTCTCACGAGCAACGTCGTCGTCGCTGTCTTCATGTTGACGCTCTCCCTGAATGTTATAATCTCTGCCCCATTTCTTTGATTTTAATCGCTTATTACGCGACGAAAGCATCAGCGAAAATCCGAAACAGGACAATTTTTGTGACCAATATGCAATAAAATGAATGCTTCGTTCTCCTGTCATGTATTTTTGCAATCGTTATACTTTTTGACAAAGCAGTGGCGGAGCATCAAAGGACATTGGTCGCGGAACAGCTAGCAAGGAAAGAAAGACTCGCCAGGGAGTTGAGGGTCGAGAAAGGACGACTCGAAGCGATGAAGAAAGAATTACAGTCTCTTACGAGGCCTTTCGATTCTCGAATGCCTCCTCAGGTGCGTATATGAGCTTCAAGAATCTCGGTGCGGCACAATACGAGAACATAACGCAATCACGATAACGCAGGAGCTGAAGCTGAAGTTAAGAAGCGAGATCTATCAGCTGCAGCTTGAATGCGACAGACTCGCAGACGAGGTGGACCAGTGGTCAGATCCAAGAGGTATGATCGTAATCAATTGCCTGTTCCCCATCTTTCATCTTCCGTAATAAATAGTGCGATTTCGTTTGGCATATTCGCGGCGCAGTACCTTTGGGTGAAACGAACGAGAAGTTTTATCAGCACATTTACACCGGTCAACCTCTACCTTCGAGGTCTAACGCGCCGCCTCTGCCAAGTCAACCACCCGCCTGGCAGCCAGAACCGATGGGCAATAACATCGACAGAGATGAACGCGACGGACCTTCTTGGGTCTGTAGAATGTGCACGTTCGACAATCATCCGTTGATGAACAAGTGTGAACAATGCGATATGCCGCGGTTGTTGGATCACGGAAACGCAGGTAGGAATCCCGGGAAATCGATAATGAAACTTCCGAGCCAGTTGACACGCTTGGACATCGATCCACCGCCTCCGCCGCCTTCGGATTAGCAAAGACCCGAGTGCCTATTAACAGCATGCGAATTAACACTTAACTTATCCTAAAGACGAATCAAATGGAGATATTTTTCTGTGATTCAATGTGCAATCGAAAGTGATACTTATTTTCTTTTTACTACCAAACATTTTTGCTCATGAGTGAAAGAAATAGTGTAATACGAAGAAAGAGTGATGAGACGAGGCTGAAAATCAAACGGGCCTACTATGTACTTGAACGTGGCGCATGTACGATTCCTTTATGATCGGAATTCAAGTTTAATGTAGGCATGTTTAATTTAGTTACGTTTACGTGCAATTCTATTTGGTAATAATGTGTGATTTGTTTTATTTGTTCTAACGATTCTAGTGAGTGAAATTTTTAGCCTTCGAATGATCGTTAAGCGGAATTATTTATTGCAATATTATAATTATGATTTCCAGGTGAAACTCAAGATATTCATATACGAGTTACACATCATCATAACTTTTCCCCGAGCCGTGAGTATTTTTCTCCGATGCGGTTTCAGGTGCACAATTGAAGTGTAACGAAATTTTGTACGACATAAAGGAATGTTCGATCATTTCCAGAGACAGTGCATAGTTGGGTGGTATGATATGAACTATAATATTAGAAACATGAAAAAGCTGTGTATATAAAATCATTATTTAAATTAAATAAAAAGTTGTTATATATAGCCTACAGATCGGGAGGGAAGAACGAAAACTCGAGTTCTAGTTTAATTTCATTTTATTAAATACGATGGGTGCAACAGATTTTAATTGGTGTATACAATATCGTAAAATATTTGCACTTCCGATTGCAAACTATCGATGAACAACTTATCAGTAGTCTGACTCCTATTTGTACGAGTTTTAAAATACAATTTATTTGTAGTAAGCCCTTTCGATATAATATCTTCCATTATATGGCGGTACCCCTCTCTAAGTTCAATTTCGTCTCGCGCGTGTACTCCCCATAGAACCTTTCCAGTTTCTGATTGAACTTGGCATTGCGCTCGTTGATGTAATCGATGTCAGCATCATCGTTGTGCATTCTTCTTCTGCTGTACTTCTCTCTCTTGGCAATCCTGGAAAGAAAAGCGGAGGATCAGAATGCAAAATATTTCAAATTTTTAACAAGTCCCAATGATGTTACTAACTGTTTCTCCAAATCTTCAACCATTTTATCAACAGATTCCTTCTTATCTTCATGCAGGCCGTGCAGTATGGTGTTTCTATCTCCGTAAAATGCTGGTCCTAACTTCTCTCTAGCATCTTCGTATGAATCCATGTTCGGTTTAATATTCTTCACCAATCTATTATATTGACGAATCGCGGCTTGTTCGTAATCTGAGAATCCTGGATCAGGATTTTTCTTATTATTCTTCTTCCTCGCTATACGTTCTGCTTCTGTTGCATCGATATGAAGCAACTTTGTCCTTTCATAGTCCTCTCCCTGTAACACATGCACAAACGTATAATTAATCCATTTTATTGTATCATCGATATAGAAAACGTACCTTCTCCTGTGCAACCTTCCTCGCAGCTTCGTCCTGCATGATCCATTCTGCCTGCCTTTTACGCGATTCCCAGTTCGAAGGAAGTTTGTTCCTTTTGTCTTCCTCGATAACTTCTTTATGATTCTGCTGTCTCGCCTCGTTCTACGAAACACAATGATCCTATGAGAACCTGTCATTTGAGAGAAAGGTTAATCTTTTCAATACTCACCCTCTTCGCGTGCAGTTCTCGTAAACGTTTCTTTCTTTCAGCCAGCTTCTCCGCCGCTGACATTTCTTTACGTTCATCTTCGTTCTCCATTCCTCAAACCGAATATTTCCTCTCGAAAACGAAGCTTCCGTCAGTTTGACGCGTTCTACGACACAAGAATGCAAGTGTTTATTACGTACCTCGAGTGATCACTGTACAGTTTACCGCATGCTTCGATAGGTGTCACCACCTTATGGATTCGTCGACCGAAAAAGGCGATCTCAGTTTTGCCCGTGTCCCGTGGGTGGTGTAAGTACGTGGATCGATCAAAATTGATCTCCCGCGAGCGAGGGAACGTAATAAGCGGAACTTTGCGCGGGTGGTTTCCTTCTCGTGAAACGATCGAGGGGCAATATTACTAATTCTGTCGCTAGACGAAGAGGAATAGCCTGTTGACCGAAACGTGCGATTCTTCGTCGTCTCGAAGTTTAGCAGCACTCGTGAAAGTTCGCGTTTGCGCGAATCCCGACGGTGGAAAACGTGACGCAGAGTGCGGAGTACGCTGGCGGCGGAGAATAGAAAGTTTTCGCGCTCAACAGGACTCACGGGATTCAAAGAGCGCGGTGGCCAGGGTGCCGCGAAACCGCCTGTTCGGGGCGATCGGTAAAGAGATAGAAGAGGACAGGGCTGACGTGCGGTCAGACTTTATTCGACGGGAATTAATCCTCCCCGATACCGTTATGGAGACACTCGAGTCGAGTCGCGTGTGCCGTCTTTGCGGCAAACAATCCGGTATATTAATCAACATCTTCGATAAGAATGAGGCGCACGAGAAGAAGATCAACACGATTCTACCGATTATGGTATGTCACGTATCATCCCTTTTCATTCATTTCATTCGATCGATTCCCTCGTGTGCGAGCACCCAACGCTCTTTTTTCCTAAACGCCCCCCCCTGTACCACGTTCTTGCCACGAATCATACTCCGAACAATGTTCCCCGACGGGCGGTTGATAACGTTTCCGCGACGAATACAAATACGCGCCTGCACCGATGGAATCTATTAATTCAACAGGTTTCGACCTCTCGGCGCACACATCGGTCTCGAACCTTGTTACAGCCACAATTTCTAGGTTGAAAGTGAGGTTATTGCTAGTTTGCGCCAATACACATCATAAACATTTTTAACTATTACGCAATTCCCAATCGTGATCCTTTTTTTTAACTCGTTAATGATCATCAAATATCATTATGTTGGTTTTGGAAAGAGACAGTCGAGAATAGAACAGCTATTGGGTATCAAAGAAACATCGTAAATCCGTCAGGTAGGGTTGATAATTCTCGTGAATCAATCAAAAATCAAAAGTCACATTTTTTTCTCGGTAGTATAATTAAAAATAATTAACAACACGATAATTATAGTTATTTTCTTACTATCACGATTATCTTTGACATACGGTTGAGCGGAAGGGCTTTGCATGTTTCGTTATTGTAGCGATTACTATAATACTCGCCTTTTATCGTAGTGTGAATTACAGACAATAATAGTCGTCGTTTTTATTCATAATATCAGCTTGGAAAATAAACGAACGTTTAGAAATTGTTAAGAAACAAATTCGAAATAATGCGATGAACATCATTATTATTCTATAGTTGTCTCATATGTCGCTGCGTCGACATATAATTTATTGTAAAATAACTTGACATGATTTTATAATAGGTAATGAAATTGAACATAGGCATAGCGCTTATTGCGAACATCGATCTGTCTGTAATTTTCGTAATTTCCCTGAACCTTCCAATTTCTTTCGAAAGAAAATCGATCCCGCGATTTCCTTCGCACGTCCAGTACATATCATTCCAGCTTCATCGAACCTAATCGTTTCCACCGGGCGTGTATCCTCCAGGTACACGAAATGGACTTATTGCCAAAGCACATGTGCCACCGGTGCAGCTACAAACTGGAGGAGTTCCATAAGTTCTACGTGGATTGTTTGAAAACCGACGCGAGCCTCAAGAGTCAATTGTCTTGGATGCGAAAAGAGGACTCGAAGGAAACGAGCGGCGTACCGATGGTGCACATAGAAAACCTCAGAATCAAGATGAAACCACTGGATTACGATCTGTACGACGTGAAACCGATAGTGAACGACGTCGGCTACATGAACTCCTTGGGTTTCCCGGTAAACAGTGTCCCACGCAACGACGGTATAACGTATACGGCTTACGCACCCTGCGATTATTACTGTGATAAAACGGACCAAAGTAATCAAGCTATATCTACGAATTTCGAGGATGATATAGCGAATTGTAGTAAAATAAACGAGATGACAGAAGACAATTGCTGTACCTGTATTCATGAATCGAACGCAAGATCGAATTTATTCGAAACTCGAATAAGGATCAAGGAAGAATACCTGGAAGACGAAGATTTAAATGGTACTCACGATTTAAACACCTCGAGAAAAAATTCGAAGGATGCGATCGTTCGTGGTTCGAAGAGTACGATCGTTCGTAATCTGAGGCCTAGAAAAAGTGTTATAAATTACATGGAGACCAGAATGTACAAAAGCAGATCGAAGAACGTGGACGTCAAAGTAGATAAACCGGCGTTGACGGATATCAAAGTAGAGAAGATGGACAATTTCGAGAGGGGTATTGTACTCCGACCGAGGAACGGGACCATCAATTATTTTCAACCATCGCGGAAGTGCTCGACATCACTGAAGAAGGATCGAAGATCCCGCGAGGTTCCAAACATCGCGGGTACGCTAAAAAACATAAAGAAAGAAGAACTGTCGGATGCTGAAGATAAATCGGTGATGCTTCTGTCGAATGAAACACTACTTGCACTGCCCAAAGATGTGAATATACGAACCGATAGGATTAGTTGTAGTACGTTTAAGTTAGGTCTTAGTTTGCGCAACGGGAAGAGTAAATTGAACAGGTCCTCCTCGCCGAAATATTTAAGGAGTCAGGATGTCCATTTGAGGAATGGTAAGATTCGAAAACGCAATGTCGAGGAAACTAAACTGGGGAGAAGCTTTCGAAATCTCGCGGACAGGGGCAGAAAGCGAGTTAAAAATCTGCTCCAAACGATCGGAGACGTGCACGTAAAAAAGATCAGATTCAATGTGAAACATTATTGCGAGGAGTGTAACATGAGCTTCGTTAACACTGAGTTATATAGATTGCACACGTGCTGTGGACACTAATCTTTTTTTTTATCGAATTAGAGGTATGATTGTGCAAATTTTTAACATGCTAAAACATTTATTATTTCTCTGGATGAAGATTTATGTACGTACAGTTATTCGTTTTAAAGTCTAAAGAATTGTTACACCACGTAATAACGCTTAAAAGTGGAACATGGATTGTCTTCAAAGTTTAAGGTAAAGTGTTATATTTTATTATGTATAGAAAAATGAATACAGACATATTTTAAGAGATATTAGATATTCATATACATTACACTAGCACGAGTTACGTAAGCTCGCAACTTTGCCTAATAGAGAGAAGGAGAACAATGGTCTCCTTTTGTTGCTCCTGAAGCTTAAAATTCAATTAGTACTGCTTTTGCACATGTTGTGATATACTGCAAAAAATTGTAGAGGTGAGAAAGACGTAATTTTAAATTTCATTTTCACGCAAATTTTCGTTTTTCGTTTCGAACGTCGTCTCCCGCGCCGCTTGAACTTTAACACTTTATAAGGAAAAGAAAAAGACCGATGTTCTCCTTCTCTCTCTCCATTAGCCGAAGCTCCAAGCTGATGGTTCGTGCGATATCCCAGTCGCCGAGCAGAGATTTCTATAAAGAGTGGCAGCCTTATGGGATTTTGTGTCGCACGAAGCCCCGTAGATGGAGTCTCATGCACGGGAGACGTTAAAAGTTAACGTTTTCCATTCTATCAACTTGGCATACATGAGTTGTTAACATTTACGCGAATCTGTCATTTTGATCGATTTCGATAATACCAGCCTAACTAATTCTCTCGAGTCAAGTGGAATTATTGCCAATGGGTCATCGTAGCAAAATATTTAAGCCACGCGAAGGATGATCCGACGAGGCCGAAAGAGAATCGTTGGTACACCGATGCAATCGCGTTAATTCGAATGTTTTCGAGGAGTCTGTTTCATTCGAACGATACATATTACTCGCGCGTAGATCACAATTCAACGTCTCGTTTTCTAGTCGTCGTCGAGCATCGATGATAATTTCTCTGAAACCGAATTTTGCGATGTAAAAGTTTAATCCGACGGTGGTAAGTCCGATGACGTTATGGAGTTGAAAGTATGGGTAGAAGGAATACAGCGTATCGTTTGTGGCGTTACGGAGAGCACTACGTGTCAGGTTAGCGATATCCGTTTAATTTATTTTATTGAACTAAATAGTCTGTAACGATGTCGAACGTGACTCTGAGAATCGATTTTTTCGCTAATTTATCCTCAGGACGTAGTGTACGCTCTTGCCCATGCTACCGGACAAACTGGTAGATTTACATTAGTAGAAAGATGGAGAACCAACGAACGTTTCTTAGCTCCGTACGAAAATCCTTTAAAGGTATAGACACGAAATAGATATTCTGTTTATCCTCGTACATCAGCTGTGTACGGTTCGCGGTTGAAACGTTATTAATACGGTGACTTTGTTTTGTTCGTAAGATTCTAATGAAATGGGGAGAATATTCTTCGGAAGTTCAGTTAATATTAAGGCGTTCTACCCCAGAGAATAATAAGGCTCCTAGCTCATTGGGAACTCGTTTGAATCATAGTTCGAGATCGAACGGTGTAACGAGCTCCGGCTCCGAACATATCGCGGCTAGCGGTGGTCAGGATGACGCGAAAAATGTCGCGGCTCCGAATTCCGAGCCAGACGACTTGCAAGGGTCTGGTCTCGATAGGAATCGCGATATCAGAAAGTCGTTAACGTTCGGAGGTTTGCACGGAATCGTTGCAGAAAATAGTACGGAAGTAAGTAAAATAGTGGTTAGAACAAGGGAGAAGTGTAACACTCTTTCATGTCACAGATTCAAATGGAAAACGTTGCCATAGTTCAACCTACGTTGCATTTAAAGAGCAAAGAGTCAAACATGAGAAAGAACGTGCCGAAACCAGGCCAGTCTCCGACTCGTGCCAGTAGCAGCGAAAGTAGCACGCATTTGTCGCAAAAGAAAGTTCGTGAGGTTCCTCCTTATAGAGACCCTCCGGGACCTGGTTCGCCGCCTTTGAGAAGCTTGCCTCCGTACAGAGATCCTCCACCGCCAAATTTAAATAGTCCTGGAAGATCGCAATTCCAGTCGGGTACGAACGCGGGTATGGGAAGTCCTCGCGTTCGTAAGGAAGAGCATCAGCAAGCATCGACCAGTAACACCGTCAAACTGAAGAGAAATCTTATTCAGGTTTGATAGATGTTTTTTCTATACGCGCGTAGACAGATTGGAATACATGGATCCTTGATCCTTTCGTTCGCGCATTCAGGAGTTCCAGGATACGAAAGGGCAGAGTCAGTGTCAACCAGCCGCGAGTCAGTTATCTGGTCAAACCCAAAATATGGTTACGGTCGCTTACACTCAACGCTACGTCGAGCTCATAAGACTAGTCAATAAGCAGCGTGATACCATTAATGCGCAACAAGCGGATCTTACCAAAGTAAGTTCAAGTATAGATCGAAACGCGGTCGAATGATGTTACTTGATCGTGATCACTTACGAGTCTGTTTGATTTCAGTTCGACGCCGAAATATTGTACTGGGAAACTAAGAACAGAGAGCAAATGCATCAGATGGATTTTATCTCACAAGAAGTGAGTCGTATAGAATCCACGGGCAGACTTATCGAAGAACAGGTGCGTATGCCGTGCGCGGCGTAGGCGCAACGAACGTTGGTTATTGAGTCAATAATATTTTAACGACTACCCGTTGCTTTTCTCGCAGTTAAAGGAATTGGCGCACGTTGAAGAGGAAAGCGAAATAGTCAGGCAACAGGAAAAAACATTGAAATCAGAGATCACTTTATTGAGATCGAAACTTGCGAACTGCGAAACGGAATTGTTGCAGTGTAAAAATAAGATCAGGTGCGAGATATTAAGTTTTCGTCACTTTTTTATCGCGACGCGTATCGCGCGGCACTAATCTTTCTGTTCCGCGTCACAGATTAGTCATGGAAGAGCTTGCTATAGAGCAACATAATATAAGCCGGGAAACGGATGAGAGACAAATAATGGAGCGGAAAATTATTACTGAAGTGGAACACCTTCAAAACGAGGTCGAACAAGCTAAACGTTCCGCCGAGTTGGCTTCGCAATGCGCGGAATCGTTGAAGATGGAAGTGATCAGTTTAGAATCGGCGATTGTCGAAAAGAAGTTGCAGGTGGAACGATTGGTAGCGGATATGAAAGAAGCCAATTTGCAAAGCCTGGCCGTGGCTTGCCAGGATGAGCAAGTGAAATCGTTGCTCGAAGGTACGCGATCTCGAAGTAAAAATATCTATCGGTTTGTTCGTTCCAATTAATTACGGTTTTACTAGGTGCCCATAAACCTGGCAGTACGCGTAAAATGATCGGTTCGCCGAGGCAATTGGAGACGGCGGTACCAACGAGTAAGAATCCGCACGGCGTTTGGGTATGAACGCATGATCCGATGATTGTTATATTTTTACACAGTTGGAAACGAACGGACAGTTCTAACATAATCAATCGTAATGTATCATTTCCGCGTTTAGCAGGTAAAACATAGGTCTATATTATATCGTGTACTGCTACTGGCCATATTCTCAATTTACAGCAAAACTCGCTTAAATCGGGCGCTCGTATCGTTACATTTAAACGTCGTTCGTGTAAATAATTCGTTTCACGATTTAACGTTTAAGTAGTTAAAGAAACGTGACTGGTAAAGTTCGGTACTACTCGATAGTACTATTCCGTAATCAAAACGATTCTGTGAATTAAAAGCATTTAAATACTGGTGCATTACGTAGTACCCATTTCTCAAGTATATCTTGTACGTATCATTAAGACTATGTGATAATCGAGTCTGAAATATTTTTTACTTTACCTTTTACGTAAGCGTATTCGAACGTTCAAGAACTTGATTCTCTCGATTCCATTTTCATTCCTTTACACGCGTAGCACGTGTACGTATCGTTGAAACGAGATCTTCGCACTGCCATTATTAATAAATTAAGTACGACGATGATAATTCCATTATCGATATCGTTTTTATTTGTCTTTTTACGATGTACCTACCAAAGCGTATCAATCGATTCTCTTATTAAGAAAATAAGCGATAACGTATGTGTAAACTGTATAAATAAAAGTTGAATGAGAAGTAACTGGATCTCATGGACGATGTGTTACTTCTTACAGCCGTACAAGACAAATATCCCATGGGGCCAGCGATTTATCCCATTGAAAATTTTGTACAACTATATTTATTAGGTATCGACACGTGACAAAATTTTCAATCAATTCTACGTACTCTATCGTTCCACATTTACATATCCATCGTGAAGATCTGGCTCCGTTTTTTTATTTTGAACCGACTATAATTTGTAAAGTAGCCGGTGTAACCGATCTGTTGGTCGTACGATTAATTTTTGGTAGATGTCATCTCGTTTTACATGGCAGCAAGCGCAAGGGCAGCGATGGACGATAAAATAAGTACGACATAACCGGTGCTATAAACTTCCTTGATCGTGAGAAACGCTCCGAGGTCCCAAGCCTATAAATCATTATCGAATATATGTATTTTTTTAAGTAATCACTGTCGCGCTATTACTTTACCAAGTGACGGAATCCGTTGAACGTGTGATACACGGCTGGCAGAGCTAGCGCAGTTTTCATCGCGAAAAGAACAGGGGTGGCTAAATTTAAGTCCGTAATCATTTCTATGAGGCAAGGAATCCCTCCGGGGATCAATAACGTTCCTGTAAGCAGAAGAGAAATTGGCCGTTCAGTGGATTGTTTTCTGTTTTTGAGACGCGAATTCTAATAAAAACGATTGCAGCATTACCCAAACCGAGGACCATGGCATAGGTGGACAATATCATGCCCGTTCCACGATGCGTAATCGATAAAACTGACGTTAATTGAATTTGATAAATACTTAAATGCGGCGACATTGGTCTCTTGAGCCGGAGATTCTTTTCATCGTGAGTTTCGCAAATCGCGCTTCCGGTCGCGAGTTTTGGCATCGAAGCAGCAACAAGCTTCGGGCTGAACAAATTGGTTTCATTTATTACTATGATTATTCTATTTTAAATGAGAACGAATGACATCCAATGTTGCTGTTGCGTATTATGTAACTCATTACCTGCAGGTGTACAAGTTTCGATAAACAGAGGGATCGATGCATCGTCGAGAGAACAACCTAAACGAAATCAAATTGTAATATTAACGTCATTGAATCAGCTAGAGATACGAAAGAATTGCACGACAATTAGCTACCTCATATAGCAGAGCGCCATGTTTCTATTATGTATTTAAATAACTTGTTCTACGATCTGCGATTTGCGATTACACAAGCTTGACGTGTTAGATAGGCGATAAAACGCGCAACCTCTACCGTCTCTTTACGGAAATCACGTTCAGTTGAAGATAGGACCTTGCCGAAAGCTAACCGAAAGAAATCGTGCGGGTCATCTTGTGTTTCTATACATCGTGGAATTCTGCCTCTGCCGTTGTGTGCGGCCTAATATCATTATATTATAATTATATGTGTGATACCGTGCCGCGTGCCCGTGCCGTGCGTGCCTTCCATTTACTTGCATTTACTTGTACTCGTTACGATATAGTTCTAACTCCGTTTCGATCCACTTCTAACCGAGGACCAGTGAATTAGGCATCCGAATTCATTACTGATCGTTGAAATTTTCCACTCGATATTCGAAACGGTAACAGCGACAAAACGAAATGAACGAATTCAAATTGCGAATGCCTAAAACCCCGAATGGGTTATCTATCGGTGCTACCGCTCTCGCAGCGGCCGGCATGGCTGCTTATGGAATTTCGAAATCTATGTACACAGGTTCGTTTGATTCTTGAATATTTAATTACGATGTAATCATTGTTAATGACTACGTGTACAGATAATACTCGTTTAATTGTTTCCTCTTTCTCGGTTTCAATGATTAGCTCGCGATCGCTCGAGCTATATATACTCATAATTTTTATTTTAGTGGAGGCTGGTCACAGAGCTATCATATTCTCCCGCTTAGGGGGTATACAACAAGATATTAGGACCGAAGGTCTTCATTTTCGCATTCCATGGTTCCATTGGCCGATTATTTATGACATCAGAAGCAGACCTAGGAAACTATCCTCACCTACTGGATCCAAGGATCTACAAATGGTCAATATCTCTCTTCGCGTTCTCTCTCGACCCGACGCGAGTAGATTACCAACAATGTATCGTCATTTAGGTCTCGATTATGATGAGAAGGCAGGCACTTTATTTATTTATTTATTTCGATTCAACGGTTGACTTTAGTAGTTACATTTGAAATGTAATCATCTCAGGTTTTACCGAGTATTTGTAACGAAGTATTGAAATCGGTTGTCGCAAAGTTCAATGCGTCTCAGCTGATCACGCAGAGACAGCAAGTATCCAACTTGATAAGGAAAGAATTGACCGACCGTGCCAAGGACTTTAACATCGTATTGGACGATGTCTCCATAACAGAATTGAGTTTTGGCAAAGAGTATACCGCCGCGGTCGAATCTAAACAGGTCGCTCAACAAGAAGCACAGAGAGCAGCTTTCTTTGTGGAAAAAGCGAAACAGGAGAAGCAACAGAAAATCGTTCAGGCGGAGGGTGAAGCAGAAGCTGCGAAAATGATATCCTTTAAAAATTCTCATTAATATCGTTACATCTCGTTAGCAGTGGTTTATCCTTGACTTCGATGCACCTTGGTCTAGCTCTTAGTCAAAATCCTGGTTACTTGAAGCTACGAAAGATTCGCGCGGCGCAGAACATTGCACGCATGGTAATTGTGAACAAAATGTTTTCTCATTTTTCCTTCCGTTAAATTACGAGGGAGCTGGCTCTACTACACCGTGAAACGTACTTTCGTTCTCGTTTTAGATCGCGACTTCTCCGAATCGCCTGTACCTCAGCGGAAACGGATTGATGTTGAACATTCAAGATCCGTCGTTCGACGATTCATCGGACAAACTAAAAAGTAAGAAATAAAGGCAACGCGAAATTCTCTTCCCACTCGAATTCATCGTGATCGATTTTATATATGGCGCGAGCAGAATTTTTTTAGATATGTTATGCGTATGTAGATATGAAAAGGAAAGAAGTAAATGAAACAACGAGACGCATTGTTAATAAGATTCGTTGAACGATATTGTGTACATAAAAATATCGTTGCACGCCAATCTTGTAATTCTCATTATGGTATCCTGTGATACGACGATGCTCGCTCGCAAAATCTCGAGCTCGCGCATGTTTTCAGGTGATAAACGGATGGGATGGAAAAGTGTCAACGATATCACGCAAAACGCCGTGAAATCATTAAAGTCCGATCATCAAGCGGCAGTGAAAAGCAATGAAAAACCCTTGATCAAACATCCAGTACCGATATCGCCGGACGAACAAATGTCTATTCTGTTGGATTCTGCGGATGACGGGGCGAAAATGATAGTTCCCTGAATTTCGAACAAAAAGTTTTAATACAGAAATTATTTTTTTATACGAGGTTTTGCGGAGCGTGCTCGTCTCTCTCTCTTGTCCACGTACTTGTATAAATTATATTCCTTATCCAAAACTCTCCACCCGCTTAAAAGAGCATTGCTCTTTCTCTCATGACCCTCTGATGGCAACTCGCCGAACGATCGTTGCTTTATCTTTTTTGAATGACTCATAATCGTAATTGTCCCTATAAATAAAACATAATTTATCGAGCGAATTCGTTCTTTTTGTTATCGGCACACTCTCATAAAAGTGCAGATCGCGAAATATGCACAAGTGCGAGTTGGTAAAATCACTCTGTAAAGACGTAGAAGCTTGTTGCGCGATCCACGTGTTTTTTGCGACTCCGTGCAAACTCTGATACGCGCTGTGACCAAGAATCAAAAGACAGTAACGAAATTGGTATTATAAACAATATTTTTGGAGTACGCGTTTTTAATTAACGACATACCACGTAAGTAGATACTTTTCGATAAATCGCATGCCGCAAGGTTGTATCAGGTTGCATTCGCGTACCAAGTACGTTAACCTCCGTTTTCATACAATATAGGAAACAGAACGTAGAACAGAGCTGTCAGTCACGTGTAATTTTTTCAAACTTGACTCGAATTAAAGGATTTCAAGGTAATTCAAAGTAATTTTCATTGTCTCATTTTTATTCTCGTCCGTTCGGTAATCGGTGTACATGTGTTTTTTTCTAATACAAATTTTCATAGTAATTGCATCATTGTTGTAGATGGGCGTGGATAAACCTACGGATTCACCTGTAGGAGGGTAAGGTAGTCATTGTTACGAAATATTAAGATTCGCCTGGAATCTTAAATGCACTTGCTTGTATTTCTTTTTAAGCGAGGAGCCTTCTAAGAAGGCTCTTAAAAAACAAATGAAGGAAGCCGAGAAAGCGGCGAAAAAAGCTGAGCGAAAAGCACAAACTGTAAGTCCAGTCACTATGCAGTCCTTCACGTAAGTATACGTATTCGAAAACGAGCAGCGTTTGCACAAGACGAAATGTTTCTGTGCATGTGCTTCTACGAAGCAAGCGAATCAAGAAGCGATCCAGGAGGAGGACGTGTCGGTAGGAAACTATGGAGAGACCGGTCTGATACGGAGTAAAGAGAAACACGCGGAAAGAAAGTTTACTGATATCAAAAATTTGAAGTCAGATTTGGAGAACAAAACAGTATGGTTGAGGGGAAGATTACATACTAGCCGTGCCAAAGGTATATTACTAGATACAAAATTAAATTCGCATTGATCGACGCCGTGCTCGATGTTGTCTATTTTTTAGGTAAACAATGCTTTATCGTTCTGAGACAACAATCTTATACGGTGCAAGGTTTAATCGCCGTCAGTGAAAAAATCAGTAAACAAATGATCAAATTCGTGTCCAAGTAAGTTTCCAGGATTAACGATTCGCGAATTTTTAAAAATGACTCTTTTACGAAATCGTCTCGCAGCATCACCAAAGAGTCGATCGTCGACGTGGAGGCGGTCGTGAAACGCGTCCCCTCGAAGATCGAGTCGTGTACCCAGAAAGACGTGGAGATACACATCACGAAAGCTTTCGTCATAAGTGCTGCGAAACCGCAATTGCCCTTGCAAATAGAGGATGCTTCGAGACCTGCAGGAGAAGCCGACGAGAATGCCCTAAATATAAAAGTGAATCAAGACACCAGGTTGGACAACAGGGTGTTGGATTTAAGGACGCCGGCCAATCAAGCTATATTCAGAGTCGAAGCAGGAATTTGCAAATTGTTCAGAGACATACTTACTGCTAAAGTGAGTCGTCTACGGAGATCGAACGATCGTACTGTTGTTACTCAGAGATTTCGTTGTTTGTAGGGTTTCGTCGAAATTCATACGCCAAAAATTATATCCGCGGCGAGCGAAGGTGGAGCGAACGTATTTACGGTGTCGTACTTTAAAGGAAACGCCTATTTAGCGCAATCCCCTCAATTGTACAAACAAATGGCGATAGCGGCTGATTTTGACAAAGTTTTTACCGTAGGAGCAGGTAACAGACGTTAAAACGAATCGTATTCTCAAAGAGTTACACCATCGCCAAAGCGTTACACCATCGCCTACGACGATCGCGTAGTTTTCAGAGCCGAAGATTCAAACACCCACAGGCATCTGACCGAGTTCGTTGGTCTGGATCTGGAAATGGCGTTCAAGTATCATTATCACGAAGTGGTCGACACCATCGGACAAATGTTCACGGAGATGTTTAGAGGTCTACGCGATTAGTTAGTAACAAAGTCTCCTATAAGAAACATTTCTTCTCCAAAACGATTATTCCCCGTTAATCGGCCGTTCGCGCTTGATCATAGTTATGCTGCCGATGTCGAGGCTGTGCGCCAGCAGTACAACGTAGAGCCGTTCAAGTTTCTGGATCCTCCTCTGAGATTAGAATTCAAAGATGCGATTGAATTATTGGCGGAAGCCGGTGTAATTTTGGGCGAGGAAGACGATTTGTCCACGCCGGATGAAAAATTGTTGGGCAAACTCGTTAAAGCAAAAGTTAGTTCTCTTTACAGGATCGGTTCTTAATTTCGTTCTTCTCTTAAAATCGTGTCTCGTTACATGTACACAGTACGATACAGACTTTTATATCTTGGACAAATATCCGCTGGCCGTGAGACCGTTCTATACTATGCCGGATCCGAATAATCCTGTGAGTTCATGACGTAAACTCGCCGTTACAATTTTCCGCCAGCCACGGAAAGAAATCTGATATTTTTTTTTACAGAAACTATCAAACTCATACGACATGTTCATGCGCGGCGAGGAGATCATTTCCGGCGCGCAACGTATTCACGATCCCGAGCTTCTGACGGAACGTGCGAAACATCATGGAATCGGTAATTGTACTTGATGCGACAACCCCTATATTTGCCAATCTTCAAACCAACGACATACGATGCGAGATTCCGTGTGTTTCAGACATAGAGAAGATAAGATCATACATCGATGCGTTTAAATACGGATGTCCTCCTCATGCCGGTGGTGGGATCGGGATGGAACGCGTCGTCATGCTTTATCTCGGCTTAGACAATATTAGGAAAGTTTCCATGTTTCCCCGTGATCCTAAACGCCTTACACCGTAAAATCTTTCGACATCTGTGCGTGCAATTCCACGTATATTAAAATAAACTTAATCGAAAGTTCTTACTATAGTTGGATTGTATCAAAAAAAGGAACACATAATAAAGTTGGTTGAATATGTTTATAATGGGAATGTGTACGTATATGTATATGTGCAAAACAATATTCTAATGTCACACGACGTATTATAGAAGGCGTCAAAAATTGCCGATTATTTCGTGTGACACGAAGTCTCACTGTTTAGTAATTTCAGTAATCACGTATTTAAGAGTATACAGCATAGACATATGTATACGGCAAAAAATTTTGTTTTTCCTCGAACGTCTCGAAAACCGTTGGTCTCACGCAGTTCTCGATGAGTCAAGTAAGTGAGTAAGACCGACCGGCACTTGACTTGACTGGTGCCGGTCAAAATAAATTGTCATAAGATCATAAGAGAACCTTGATAAGTAGATGGCAGTGATGCAGAATGCGTTGAGGACAGGACAGGAGACGAAGCGAGTGTCGACTGTTTTCGAATGCAAATAAGTTTCGAATTTCTCCTACATTTACATCGAAAAGAACGTTCGTTCAACATCATTTCGTAATCTTAAGGCAGCGATTCGTACGAAACGGCGTAAGCGGCCGTGCTTCCAACGTCTACTTAAATATAATGACATACGAAACAATGGTTACGCGCGGTTTTAAGGAAGACTGCGAGCGATTGATCACTCGCTTCGAACGAGCGGACGATATCAGATTCGAAACGTTTTGCGAGATTTGGAAAGAGATGAAATTCTCGTTGGTTTTTACGTAAGTTCTGTGACAACTGTCCTTGGCATGCATAAACGCTGACGATCGTCCGTTTCTAGGGGTCGGTCGTGCTTTTTGGAGCTATTAGAATTTTGTGAGGAAGCACTGGACGTGTGCAAACAATTCCTTTTATTGCCGCCTCGTTTCAAGGAACGTATCGGTGGACTGTATCTCTTGTACGGGATATACTACAAGATGCCCATAGATCAATTTAAAATTCGAATGAAACTGGAGGATTGGCGCATCGTAATGGATCTTCATGCGGAAATAAGAGAGGCCGAACACTTGGATGCTAATTACGTGTTGTGCAAATTAATCACGGATAACGCGTTCCACTTTTGCATCTTCGAGTCAGAGGTATGCCCGATTAAAAGGTTTCGAGGCGATGATCATTGTAAGTCCCCTTCTACTCCCTGAAATTGGAATAATCAAATGTACGCTTTAGTTCGGTTTGGAGAAGCATTATCGTAGGAAGAATTTAAAATGTTTCAACCCGTATTCCATGTTACCGAGACTGAAAGATTTGACCGACAAAAATCAGATATTGGCAGACATCGACGAGCTGAGCAAGACTTATGAAAAAATGAAGGAGGAATTGAGACACCGAGATGATGAGTCGACGATCGGTTTGAATTTATACAATTCGAACATAGTCGAGGAAATTACGAACGATATCAGAGAATTCGAAGAGGAACGGAGAAGTCGACAAACTAAAACTGTAATCGATACGGAAAAGACGGCTGTCGCTTCGACTTCGAAGGCAGGATTGAAGAGAGTTCGAATGTATGAAAATTTGTTTTTTGTACGAAGTGTGCATACACGTATGTTCCGTATATAATATCTTATCATGCTCGCAATTTAGAGGAGGTCCTAGAAACAAAGTGAAATCGTTGGTCCATAATACTTCGTTGACGAGATTGGACGCGTTCGATGAGGAGGATGACGACGAGGACGAAGATCTCGATACCGACGTATTAGAGCTCGATGAGTTTGAAGATTCAGATATTTCTGAAGATTCGGGTTGATACGCGTAAGTTGGTCTTCTCTTACGTTAGATATGTACTACATGAACTTGTCTTGAAATCATTCTTTATTGGGAAGTGTACAAAATAAGTATAAGGAACGAGTTTATGAAAATATCATTCCAAATTTGAAAGAAAGAGACGTCGTACGTTATCTTATCGTAGCCGTTCGGTACAGGCTTCAAATGTGTGAAGGCACAATTCAATTAAATGACTGAACATCATTAAAATGGAATTAAACTTAAAAACTGAGTATAGGAAAATGTATCATAGATTTCGTGTGCAAGTTACTTTAACGCGGAGACCGGTTTCCAAATCGGATGTAACTTTATCATTTTCACAATAGCTGCGGCTGTCTGTTTACGGCATTAAAATTAAATCTATTATACTGAATCCTGCGAATGTTTCATCACCGCGAATAAACATTTATGAAGCTCGCGGTGACCAGACGACGATAGAATTTTTTAATAAACTTTCAGTTGATTGTTGTCGTCGAACCCAGCGCTGTGACCCGCGTTCCGTACGATAAAACTAGTTCCATCGTAATGCATACGTCGTTCTCCGCGACGCACGAAAAGATGAGACGTCTGACCGAGGGACGCGGTGCAATGTAAAAACGGCGTCGTCAACGAGGCTGTCCCGTTGCTCGGCGATGTCCGCAACTGATATTTGTTACTATTTCGCGCGATCCTAGTAACAGAAATATACATTTAAACGGTTTTGTCGTTCGTGAAAAATGTGTACAGCCGATACCTGACAAGACCGTCGGGCGTTTGGGACACTCTCACGTTGTTGATGATCCAATTTTCTACACCTTCGTTGGTTAACCAATATTGGGCGGCGCTCATAGCCGCCGCAGCCTCTTGCAAACACGCTGGACCGTGTCGCGAACGAGAATAGAAAACGCTTACGGAAAAATCCTGGAAGAACGAAATGTTCCATGTATCCTTTCGGACGTTTTGCTCGCACGGGCTGTGTACCTGACTCATGTCCGAGAACGAATCCGTGGTAGTTCTCGTTCCAGCTGTATCGACCAAGTAGACGAGAGCGCATTGCTCAGAAGTGAAGCTGACCCCTTTGTACCACATCTTTGCGTATCTGCGAACACGATCGAGGGATACTAATGCTAGTGAACAGCACTCTAAACGTAAATGGACGCGGATGGAACTCACTTGTTATTGCCATGGGCGTCGTGAGCCAAGATCTCGACCCGCGAACCATATTGGTATATTCTTCCATTCGGATGGAGCAATGCCGCTGCCGCTCCGGAACCGCTCAACGACAACACGATATTATTCTACGCTGACGATAAATGCAATTCGGATGAGAATCGCTCGAGTACAATTACGTATTTCGGTCGTATACTTGACAACGGTCGAAATAGAAAAGGAGGGAGGTACCTTAAAATTAATTACTCTAACCGCACGGTCGATCGTCATGTCGACTCGGATCCTGTTGTGAAGTCTCAACGAGATCGTGCCGTGCGGCGTGGCCACGATGGCAGCGTCGTTGTCGTGTTCTCTCCAGTTCTCCGCGTACACGCCGCATGTCTCCTCGTAGTAAGGCGCGATGGTTTTCGAGTTTCGCGGCTGCCGCCAAAGCGCTGTCGAATTAGAAAACGCCGTAGCGCCGGGCAATCCGCCCCATTGTTCCGACGGCGGTGCCTCGAAATACTTGGAAAATTCACTGTACCGCTACATATTGAAGGATGGGAATGGAAATGAATGGAAAAGGCTTGGATGGACCGGATGATCGTCCCGATCGAACTACCTGGAAATTAGATTCGTCCGCCTGTGCGTGATAAGTATGCGCCGTATAGAGAGATCTCGGTCGCATCGGTGTCGTCGAGGTGGCTTGACTCTGTATCGGCGGTAGGGAACATGATTGTTGTTGGTTCACCGGCTGCGTTCCAGACTGGACGTTGCACTTTTGAATCTCCTTCCGGTACTCGCCGCCACCGCCGCAAGGAGTTGTCATTGCTTTCGCCTTTCTCGGTCGAACATTTTTTCGCGAATCGCGGAGACATACACGGAACAATGTTAAGGGACAACGGAATCGGGAAATCGGAGAAGCGAGAGAGCAGACCTTATTGCTGGCTGTAGCGTTCTTCGGCTTCTTGCGACGGGATTTCCGGGGTTTCGACACCGCCGTTTGGCTACCCTCGTTTATGCGATCCACGGCTGAAGCGGTTTACGTATCCACAAGTTCAGGTCGTTTTCGACGAAACCGCGTGTCTCGAACGAGCTTCTTCCTCGAGCTGCTGCTGCTTCGGTTCGCGAGGATGCTCGCATACGTTCGTACGATTTTCGAGTCAATTCTTTCTGTTTGACGATCGGGAACGATTACCGCACGACGATCGCGTCCGAGGAGATTTAATACCTGTATAGATAACTCTAAAAACTTGTACGTTGCACGGAGAACGATGCGGTTCGAGGATATTTCGATAGAACAATCGACTGCCTTGATTGATGTTGCCTTGGCGATAAAAATTGACGATGGTAAAATATTTCAGTCCGAATCGGGATTCGTATACACATGTATACATACATACAACGTGAGTATGCACTTTTTAGCGTATTCATTGTTTCGTACGCATACGATCAGCCAGAGTCGCGTACGCTCGTGGCATAATAAAAGAAAATTACGCAATACATAAAAATGTGTGTAGGTACACGTATGTGTATTAGAATTTAAAACGAAGCGATTCTCTCGTGACGATTCAAAATGTTTGTGATGAAACCTTTCAGTTACTTGATCGATTTAGGGATCAATCGGCAGGTGCTTGTAGAATTTAAGCTCGCAGGCAGCGTTTAAAGCCAAGGTGAAGGCCACGTTCACCGTTTAATAATTATATAAGCGACTAGTTATCAATTATTTTCTAACAATTATGCAAGCGACTAGTTATCGATAATTTGCGACGCGATTACAATTTATCCTCATTCTTTCCCAGTCGTTCGCAGCGATGATCGAGCAACGATCTTCTTTACGCGTTAATCGCTAAACACGAATATCGGCATACGTATACCTGAGCAATTGTATCGATTGTGCAACGATACAAAGATTGACATTTATTTAGTTCGCACGCAATGAAAAATTACTGCAAGTCAATGCGCTTATTACGTAACAATGTAAATAATCCACTGCCTTTGTGTCTCCTTCGATTTGTACAAATATGTCACGCGTCGAAAACTATTTGCTGAGGAAACCTTGTTATCGTTTACGCTCACCTCGAACGCATTCTATTTTACTCCTCGTCACGAAAGAAACTCTGCGTTTGGTAGAAAAAAGCATGGTTTTTAACTCGACGTTGATTTATTCGTTTTTCGTAGATAGGACAAAACAAATGCGAGCGATATGCAAAGTACAGAATTTTACGTGTGAAGAATATCTTTAGAAGTTGATACAAATCGGGACTAGGTATTACATTTTGGCTATTCGAGTGCAGAACGTAGAGCGAGTGTTGTTGCAAGTAACTAACAAGTTATCGTATAATACTGTCTCTTCGTTATATGGTGGGGCTTAGAATTTATCTATATCGTCGCTTTTTAAAATCCTAGTGCGCGTTCTCTCTCGCGCTCGCAATACTTCGTTTTCAATTTCCTCGGTGCTCAGTGGAAGCGGCTGCTCCGTTAACGAACTCGTAAAACGATGATCGTTCTTAAGCTCCCGCTTCTTTTGGTCGGCTTAACTTTAGGTAATCGTCGTTTTCGTTACTAATTTTAAAAATCGCTCCGAAAAATCAAAAGAGAACGTACGGCTTTTTCTAATAAATAGTAAAACAGTTCACTCGCACTTTCCATTACTATTCCTACCTTCTGTCTGTAATTGTTATTCATATATATTTCATCATGATCGAGTTTCCGGAATGGCCTTGAGAATATAATTTCTCAAGTATGATACACATATTTTCTCGTCTTCCAGGATCGCCTGTGTCGATCGAAACCACGGAGGAAAGGAGTAATAACAGAGACAAAGGTCCTACCCTTCGACTGATAACGGTGGTGAGTAGAAAGATGAATCAGCCCGGCTACCGTACGATCTACGCCGTCCTCTTAGGGGACATGATAAAATCTTTATAAAAAAAGAAATGAATAAATATTTTGTAGGTAATGCGGCACGGAGAGCGAGCACCGCAGGACACTTATCCGAACGATCCGTATGTTAATAATTCCATGGACCCTTACGGTTGGGGGCAATTAACGAATGTAAAGTTTCTTGTTCAATTTGTTTCGCTTTACCCACATTTTCGAGCGCGAGAATGAGATACGAATCATTTTATTACGCAGGAGGGGAGGAAGAATCAGTACGACCAAGGTCTCTTCTTAAGAAAGCGTTACGACGAATTCTTGGGTCCGACTTACAGTCCCGATTTATTTCACTTGCAATGCACCGCTGTCGATCGTACAAAAATGTCCGCGATGTTGGAAGCTGCCGCATTGTGGAAACCCTCCGAAAAACAATCTTTCAAACCCGACCTAGCCTGGCAGCCTGTTACATTATATTATCAGCCACGCTCGGAGGACACGGTACGTTTTATTTTAGCGTATCGGCCAAGTACAATACGATCAACGTTGCCCGTATTTTGCAGTTAATGTTAATATGGGAAACATGCCCAAAGTATGCGAAATCACGCGATGCGATTAATAGTTTTCCCGAAGTTTTATCGACGCAAAGGGACAATAAGAAACTTTACGAGGAGTTGACGAATTTAACTGGTATGTCCATTTCGAGCCCGGGTGATGTCGGCTCTCTTTACTCAACTTTAACGGCTGAGGTCTGCTTCATTCATATTTCTTATAAAATTGATCGCGTTGGTCGTTTCAAAGTCTCATTAGTGGAAATCTTAGAAATGCATGAATTTGACTCTTCCCGAATGGACCGAAGATTACTATCCCGATAAATTGATACCGCTCACGTTGTACGATCTTCAACTCAACGTGTACGACGATCGTCTCAAGAGACTGAAGGGCGGACCGTTTCTTAAAAAGATAGTCACCGACATGTTGGGAAAAAAAGATGACGTTTTGGAGCCCGAAACGAGAAAGATGTTCATGTACGTTGGCCATGATAGTACCATCGTAACTCTGCTGGACGTGATGCACGTATGGAACGGCCAAATGCCTAATTATAACATCATGGTAATGATCGAATTGCACGAAAACAAGGACGGATGGCACGTTCAGGTAGAGTTGCACTATATCGCGTGTCATTGGAAATACGTTGCGTTTGTACCATCAAAAAATTAATGCGCGCATTTGGTAGGTTTTTTTGAGGAATACCACTGATCATGACCCGTACGCCTTGACTATTCCTGGATGTGCGACATCGTGTCCCCTCGAGACGTTCGTTAAGATTTTAAAACCGATGATACCGGATAATTGGGAAGAAGAATGTAAAGTGGATGGTGATTACACACTTCCGCCTGCCCCGGTTCCATGACCGCGATTGATTTTTACCAAAGTGACGACAATAACCAGGACAAGTATTACTTTTAAATTAAAATAATAGCCAATCGAACGATTTAGATTATTCAGTGGGTAGAAACGAATGTAACAATTTCTATTAAACTTCGTTTCCTTAGAATACATTTATTTATAGCTAATTAGGTACACAAGTGTGCTCAATCAACTGTAAAAAGAACTAGAGAATAAAAAGATACACGATCATATCGCGAATATGCGCGTTTATACAGTGCGGTGTTCGATTAATTCTAGGCGAATATCTTCTCTTCTCGACGCTTTTTCGTAACCACTGTGCCAGGTTTGTGTTGAGCGTCCGGGTGATTCAGCAATTCAGGCGGGCAAGTAGATATCGGACTCGCGAGAATAGTCTGTTTGAGATCATAAAACAAATGGCTGTCGTCCTTGGTACAGAAAGATATGGCGAGTCCGGCTTTCCCAGCGCGACCGGTTCTACCGATACGATGTGTGTAATCTGGAAAAGATGAGAGAGATTACTATTTGCGGACGCGGCGGTAATGCCAATATATCTTTTCCATTTACCTTCTATGGTCTTGGCCATATCGTAATTAATGACCATGGAAACATCCTTGATATCGATACCACGACCCGCGACGTCGGTAGCCACCAAAATATCTTTGCTACCGCTTTTCAACGAAGCGAGCGCGTACTCTCTTTGCTCTTGTCCTTTGCCACCGTGTAGCGTGCAAGCGTTGTACTGAAAAAAGAGAAAGGAGAACAAACTTATTATCTACGAAACGACAAGACGACGACGCACGATTTAAACTGAAACTTACACCCAATTTCTCCAAGCCTCTGGCAAGTACATCGGCTCCCTTCTTCTGATTGACGAATATAATTACCGGTGGTTCCACTCCTCTGCTAAGTATCTCCATCAATTTCTTGCGTTTGTCGGCTTCGCCCATGATATGTACTATCTGTTCTGTTCTTTCGGTCGGTTTTCCTACGCTGCCGATGTACACGACAGCGGGTCGCCTCAAGTAAGTTCTAGCCAATCGTTCCACCGCGGGCGGCATAGTCGCCGTAAACATCACCGTCTGTCTGTACTTTTTCTTCGTATTGTAGTTGGCCAAAAGTTTCTCCTCGTTCTCGGCGTCCTCGTTGTCCGGTTTTAGATTCGTCACCGGCATGTACTCCAAAATCTTTTGAACGTCCGGTTCGAATCCCATGTCTATCATCCTGTCGGCCTCGTCCAGTACGATGTATGTGCACTGATTTAAAACCAAGTATCGATTTTCTAGCACGTCGATCAGTCGCCCCGGTGTGGCTATAACGATCTCGCAGCCCATTCTCAACCTGAATCCTTGTTCTTCCCTCGAAAGACCGCCTACCACGACGACCGTCCTTATACCTAACGGTTGTCCAAATTTGTTGGTCTCTTCTTCGATCTGCTGAGCCAATTCGCGAGTTGGTGCTAGAATTATGCTGTAGGGTCCTTGATCCGCTTCTTCCAGCCTTTCGATCTTTGGTAAACTGGTGATCCACAATAACAGAGGAATCAAGAAAGCCAGAGTCTTGCCGGATCCGGTTTCAGCGACTCCGATGATGTCACGATTTTGAAGTCCTATGGGAATGGCTTGCCTCTGAATCGGAGTCAAGTCCTTGTATCCCACCTTATCGATGATATCGAGAATTTCTTTGGGGAATCCAGATTCTTTCCAAGATCTAATCGGATCCGGTATGCGTCCACCCTTTATCGTAATATTATAATCCTCCCTGAATATACGCCAATCTCGTTCTGTCATTTCGTGCAGAGCTTTCTCGGACCAATGTCTATCGTCCCATTTTTGTTTCTCTTCCTTTCTCTTCACCTTCTTCAATCTCATTTTCTCCTGCTCCTTCTCCGCCTCCGTTCTTCTCTTCTCCAACAGTTCTCCGTAAAATTTACTCTGATCTCGTTTCTGCGCTTTAATATCTATCCCAGCGAGATTCCCTCTACCAAAGAATTGAACTTGATGCCTCTCCTTGTAAATGCTATTGTAATCGACAGACGTGTCTTCGGAAGTATCCCAATCGAATACAAATTTTCTATCGTTCAATCTCCTGACGCGTCGTTTCTTCTTCACCAGACCCAAGTAACGCTCTTTAATAGCTTCCACCTCCTTTTCTTTGTCCTTGTCTTTGATATCGTCCTCCCGTGCACGTTGAGATTCTCTACGCCTACTGTCTCTATCGTCCCATTCTCGATCTTTACCGGGAGTTTCATTGTGAAAGAAAGATTTTCGTGCTTCCTCTTGCTGCTTCCTTATAGCATCCACTTCCTCCTGACGCTTTTGCAATGCCAGGGCGGCCCGTTCCTCCTTAGATAAGAATTTTGGTTTAGCTCGTGCATCTTCTTCTGCCTTTTTCTTAGCCAACAACTCTTCCAGACTCAACGGTTCCTTTTTCGGAGCAAGCTTCGCCTTCTCTTCTGCTTCTTCCGCGTCCTTCTTCTGCTGTTCGCTCTTGCTCTCCTTCTTGTTCTCATCATCGATCACAAATATGGGACTCAGCTTACGTTTCTTATCGTCCTTCGATTTGTCTTTCGAATCCCTCGATTGTCTCTCCCTCGACCTGTCCCTATCCTTCTCCCGCGATCTATCCCTCTCCCGGGATCTCTCCCTCGACCTCGATCGCTTTCTATCTTTCTTCCGATCCTTGGACCGGCTTCTCGATCGTCTTCTGTCCCGTCGTTCTCGATCCCTTTCGCGATCGCGGTCCCGCTCGCGCGAACGGCTTCGCCTTACAGTCTTTTTATCGTGAGCCATAATTGCTCCGGCCGATAAAGGTATCGCCGTAAAAAGTGCGAGTAAGAAACGAAACGTACGAGTTCAGAAATTTAGCTGCTCATCTCTGACACGGATATCGAGACAAACGTTGTATTGACAACAGAGCAGGTTAGAAATCCTTAGATCTAAACCTTCGTTACTTTTTCCTTCTGCATGACGGTGACAAAACTGTCGAGTTTCGAAAAAAAGACACTCAAATAATCAGGTAATCTTTTTTCGACAAGTGAATAGATTTCGTTTTTGTTGCACGCACAAAATTACACGGCTGTATATCATGCGCTCGTACTGTACTGAATACGCACACGCTATATATAACGCAGTGTATATACATAGAGCACATACTATGTATTACCGTTAAGGCTATCATTTCACCGCGGGCAAAGCAATCTCTGGCAATCTCATTTGTACTACGTATGTACAATAAAATGTTTATCTGGCGGATCCTTTGGCTGGACCCGCTTCTCGTTTATTGAGAAGAGCCGAGAATTTATTCGAACGATAAAACGAATTCAATGTTTTTCGCCTGATCAGGGGACGAAACGAGTTTGTTCGATAATCGACTAATCGTTGGGGTCGATCGTGGGTGAAATTTTGGACCAATGGGATTGAGGCATCGGGCTTCTCCGCAGGCCACAGGGAGGCTCGATAAAGGGCGCTAGTGTCCGTCAAGTGTCACAGCCGTTGCTCGTCTCCTTAGTCTTGTAACATAAAATCGGTGATTTAATTAGGAATAAACGCATTTTATTCTAAAATTTGTGAAACGTTAAGCAATAATGACCGACAAGAAAGGTAACTATACACCGTAATCGCGCGGATACGATTAGCGATATGTGTTACATACGTCGAGAACATCTCGTGTTTTCGAGTCGAGAGAGAATACTTTACCACTTGTCACTCGTACGACAGAGTTTTTTTTTCGTTAGCGACGGTCGATCCTGTGAAGAACGATGCACGTTCTAATTCGATCGAGATTCGTTACGATCGGTATATACGAGAAAACCGTATCGTTTTTTAACGCGCCGAGTAAAAAACTCGAGTTTCCATCCAGTGACAGATAAATCAATACCGCATTGTGTGTGGGAAATACAAAATGGCTTCCAGAGTTCGTCCCGAACGATTTTCGCGATCATTTTTCTCCTTATTAGAAATCGTATACTATCCGTGACGCGACGAATTCGTAGAAAATTATCGGTATTATCAATTTTATGTCACGCTCGGCTTGACTCCCGCGTTTCTTTTTACCTTTTGCGAGTAGCGTGCATACACGAGACGCATTACGTATCTTACCATTGTATATAGTACGATCAGTTAGTAATCGGTGCGATGTATGCGTATTACTTGCGCTGTACAGTTCGGTTAGCGTTTTACGCGTTTCAAGAAAAAGTTAGCGATTGTCGAGAAATTTGCTCGAGCATCTGTTCGCCTCGCTTTAGACGACTTTTATCTTCGTACACGCGATCCGTTTCTTTTTCGCATCGTATATATACATGAGTATGCGGCTCGGCCGAAATCTACGGTGAAATTTCTAATGGGTCTCCTCCGTCGGAACAGTTTGATTGAATTACAATTTAAACGCGTGAAGATGAAAAATGTGTTCTCGCGGAACAGATTTCTGGAAGCTATTGCTAATTATTCTCGTTCCGTCCGTTATCGCCGACACCACATAGATTCAACGATTAACAAGTTCGTGCAATTTTTATACGAAAAGAGAAAAGAGCACGTCGAATTTGCAATAGAGGTAAAGATCGATAACACAGCGTGCTTCGAGTTAGTTCATTAACGATCTTTCTAAACTCGTCGAATCGACGTCAAAGTAATTCGACGGACGTTCGAATCTGTTCGATATAATAAAACAGTTCGTACGAGTGAGGTATGTGCCTTGAACTAATTTCGAGTTTCGTACCAAGCCGACGAAAATCCATTGATTCGATTGCGGTAACAGCTTGGACGACGACTACGATATTTACGGTGATCTCAGTCCTAGTCGGAGCCCGCTCTGTATTCCTAAAGCAAATCGTGTGATTACAGAGCAGACCGATAGCGTTTAAGGAATGTGTAAAAGTTTCTTTAGTCTGTAAGTAAATGATCAGTATTTACGCATCCAACGACGCGAACTATCGAGGAGATTACACACGCCGCGCCGCGGTGCGAATCTCTGCGAGCGTGTTTAATACGGTGACGGTATAGCCGCTAAAAAACCGAAGGATAGCGCCTACAGTTGTGGCTGTCAATATGTTTGCAGCGGACCATTACAAAGACGATTTGATCCCAGTCAGTAGGTGGAGCTTTGGAGACCGGCGTTCGCGCAGCCTAAGCCACGTATCTAACCTCACCTTACTCTATATATTACCTAACTCACTACGTGTTTATATACCAACATATATTACGTATACACACTTATCGCATTATATATACATATGCATATATATATATATATTCATTTTTATATATATATATGTGTGTGTACTATTACAAAAGATATAGACGCACCGCGCATCTCCTTATTCAAAAAGCAGAATTAGCAGCGAACGATAGAAAATTAAATAGTCAACGTCGGAGCCAAGTCCTCTGGCCCTCGTCTTCCCACCGCGTTCGATCAATTTCATTCAACTTTCTCTCGTCGTCGTTGAGCCGACGAGTAACACCGCGCTTATCGAATCCGGATCCTTGATTCTCTTTTTTGACTCGCGTTCAGCGTGCTGCGGCGCGTGAGCGTTTTGATTCGAGAGAAATAATTAGAAAACTTGACGAGAGAGACGAAAAGAACTGTACGTGTTCACGAATCGTTCCAAAGAGGTAACACGCTGCATACCGACTTTTTGAGGGGGAGACGTCGGCTGCTATATATCCAAATCAATATGAACGTAAGATATTGATATGGGTGTACAAATATTTCGTACTGAAATCGTGGTATTGGCTGATTGCTTATTTTTTCTCTTTTTCCATTTTCTTTTATTTTTTTTCCTTTCTTTTTCGTTCGTTACGATAAGTACTCGCCGTGGTGTCCTGCGACTTTTCTCTCTGCTCGGGAAAGGAACATTTGATCGCCGTCGATACGACACACAGTAGAAGCGAGAGACGAATTTACGAATTCTCTCGGAAACGATCCGATCAATCGCAGGACGGTACGGCGGGTGAACGGGGTGGACGACACGAATGCTGTATTTAAGCTCAGCATATTTATCATATTTTTACTTCTAATAGAATCTTGGTAGCTCACTTTTAACAATAGTGCATGTTGCTTCGATTTCGGCTACAAGTTTCTCCCGGGGAAAAGTTCAACGAATTGTTCGATTAGTGTAAACGACTATCTAGTCTCGCTCGAGATCGAGCAGTTTCTTTCGTCCGGTCAAAAGATGAATATACGAAGCAGAGTAGATCGAAAACGAAACTTGTAGACGTTGTTATTGCACGTATACGTGTAGTCTTTACTGTGTTTCGCGCGCGCGTGCGTGCGTGCGCGTGTATAAGAAAAAAAGTACACTTCTTTCTTCGGCGATAGCATTATCGAACTTTAGTTCGTTGCCGTTTGAAACTAGATTAGGAGAAGTACGCTAATAGAAGGATATATACGATACAACGATATGTGCACCGTACTTTTGTATATTTTTTATACTTGTACGGAGCTACAAACTAGAAATATAAATAATTTCGAAAGAAAAGAGAATCGCGATCGATCCGTGGATAAAAGTGGGAAACATGCTTCATCGATTAAAAGTGGATAACGAAAGGACGAAGCATGTTACGAACGCGTGCAACGCGTATAGAGAAAATTCCGAGCGAAGTTGCACTCGTTTGCATACTCGACTACTTTGTACGCAAATAAATATGTATATATATCTGCATCGATATATGTTATATATACATACATTCATATATATATATAATATATATAGCTTTGATCATTTTTCACATATATTTGTACTTTAGTTTGCATGCTTGAAATGCGTTGCTAGATATACATAGATGCACGCGGGACGCGCGAGCATCCTCGACTTCCAATAATTCGGATGATTTACTTAGCTTCACGTGATTGGCGAGAACGGCTATTGACGAGGAGAAAAGGAAAGCGTACGCGTTGAGCCGCTGGACGTACCGCGTGTCATAATCTATGCACGCTTTCCGATCGAAGAAATTGTACCGCGAGAAGAGTTCCTCGCGCGTCATCGTGTGTGATGCATGCTCGTAACGTTTGGTAGATTTTTCTAAAGACATAAATTACGTTATTTACGTTTGTTCGCTCGTTGCCTCTTTAACTCTCGAACGATCGTACACTTCCCGTTTTGCGTCGCGACCTCTTCGCAGGAGCGAAACTACGAGTAGTTCGGTCGTCGGTGAGAGCGACGGTCGACGGAACGGTTAAAGAGGAATCGAGCGAAACGTTTTGGTTGTTTTTTGATCGTCGTGTAGTCGAATGATTTAGTAAACGATCTTTTTTAGACTCGATACAGAGACGTTCCTATTCCCAATGCGGACGAACCATCGAATTCATTAACGCGTTCGAATCGTTTTTCTCGTCTCACTCGGTGAGATGATCCGGAAGATGCTCGACGAATCGATCGAGAATTCGTCGGATCATAAGTATATAATTGTTGGTACCAAGTACGCGGTCATAGGAATCTCTCGAGCAATTTTGCAGCGAGTTGCATGTGCATGTTTGCCAAATTATATCATGTATACTGTTAATAGTGAGCTTAATTACGAGATTAGTTATTCGACGATCGACTTATCGAGAGTCGTCGTGATTACGTATCACGATGGAAGAGTGCCTCTAGTTTTCAAAGACTCAGCAGCCTAGACATGTTCGATGAACAGCCGGTCGAAGTTATACGCACGATCGCGAACAAACTTTCGAGAGACTCAAGATCGCCGGATAAAATCGGCAACGAGCGATGATATTTTCACGGTACATGACTGAAATTTGACGCGTCGGGAAATTCGTTGCCTCGTCCACGAGAATACGCATCATCGAATGCGGCGGATAGAGAATTCGATCATTCCTCGGTCGCTGGGTTCTTCGAGGTACCAAGACTGTTCCCACCGAAGCACTTCGACGAATAAAATCGTGAACCATAATCGTAGACAGAATGCCGAGATGCAAAAGATCGGATCGGGCAGACTTCCGGTCGGTTTTAATTCGACGTCGAATCGGTTCGGACATGCTCATTGGGACAAATTAGGTATCGAAAAGCACTAAACGGAGGGCAAGACGAGTACATAAAGCGAATGCGTGCGTGTACGAGAGAAAGGCGGGTTCGAAACATGAAGAGCAGTAAGAAAGAAATGGGTCGAGGCAGAGAAAAGGGAAATTAGGTGAACTCCCAAAGATGATTTTTACGCGTTCAAGTTTTTACCCAGTAAACTCGTACTAGCATATTGAATACTATAATCGATTGTTATTGGATTCGATGATTGTTTGCACCGTGGCACTGACACATAAATTTATTATTCGATTGAACGCCGATCCGACCTCGATGGTCGCCGCACGAGTTTAAGCATTTAACAGATTCCGTCGCGCCGCGAATTGAAGGAAACGACGTCGTCCCACGCTTTTGGCATAATTCGAGCCGAGTGCCCGTTTCCACGCGCTCGGACCAGCGTTCAATCATCATGGACAATTTGGTGTGGGCTGACATCTATGTTAGAATACAACATGTCCATCCGATGCCTCTGGGCTTGAGCTATTTATCATACGCGTGCCAGATTCGTGTTCGCGTCGCGTCCTATCCTCGGATCCTTCGTTGACCCGACACCTCAGGGAAACCACCACCGGTAACGAGCTTTCAAATCGGAACTACTCACGTATGTTAAATGGCGATGGAACGGGGGCACGACTTAGTCTATATACTTAAAAAAAAAGAGAGAGAATCAATTGGGCGTTCTTTCGTGATTGCACACGAGAGAAGAGCGCGATCGACGATCTCGTGCGGCAATGTTTAACGCGAGCAGCGCCCAATTCATACTATATATTACGCAATTATAAAAAAATTTTTAATCATGTTTGATCTTTATTTATGGATATTTGCAGAAATTTGTGGTTTGCTGAATCTTGTCACAACTTTTTGAATGTGTGGAACTTGATATTATATACCTATACATACATACATATATATATATATATGTACATACGTTACGCGACAAGGGCACACATGTATTACGTATATATATATATGTATACATTTTATTTTTCATCGTACCACTGTACTCATTGTATAAATTACACATTCACCGCTCGAGAACGGAAACGATGATCCGTCCGTCTTACGGGCCGCGGCCGGAGATAGAATCCGAATGAACGGAATGCAAATTTATAGTTGATCCCGATCATTCACGGTCGCCGTGAAACAGAAAACGAGGATGCTGTGTACCTATATCTCGCTCCTCGATCGAATTTTAATAATTACCGGGCTTCTTTTTCAACGTCACTTCTCGGAACAATTCCGTTTACCCTACTACTATTACTCGATCCTGGCTTTATTTTAGCTCTGTTTTTTGTCGTTTCTTTTCTTTTTATTTATACCAAAGTCGAACCTTAACATTTCTCAACTGTGTCTCGTACCCGCGATGGAAACGAACGGCCCACGTTCGTAGCGGATTTATTTTTCAATCCCGAGAGACGTCGGGCGCGTCGGAGACGAACCATTGTTTCTCACCGAATCGACGCGATCGCGTACGACGATTCTAATTGATCCACACGTATCAGTTGATGAATCTTGAGAGGTTCGGCTAATTAGACGAATGTATTTGGCTTCTACCTTGATTGCGTAACGCTATTTGCTTTGAGATCGGTTTCGTACATCTTACGGTTAGTTTAGAAATAAAGGTAGATCGATTTAACGCGAGTTTTCATTTGAGAATAGTTTCTCGTTTGCTCTTCTCGTTATTCTCGTTCGTTTCCACGTTCTCTCTCTCTCTGTCTCTATTTCTCTCCCTCCCTCACTCCTCCCCCCTCAGCCTCTCTCTCCATATTTTTTTTTTTTTTAATCATCGATTCTTTTGACCGTCGGAGCATTGATATCGCATCACCCGTAGTGGCTGTATCGTTAGATTCGTTTGTGTACAACTTTTTGGTGTATCGTATTCCAAGAAGGTGAAAAGAATTGTAATTTATTCCGATCTATTGATTGTTTTCGAAGCGCGGTGATGATTTCGTTCCGGTATGTACCTAATCGAGAAAGAATAAGAATAAGAGAAAAGGATCGTTGTTTACTTGCACTTATCTACATACGTACGATATGATACTTGTAGCGACAAGATGTACCTACCACGGATTACTCTTCGTGTCAGATATCTGAAATATATATATATATACATGATACATATATACATATATATATTGTATACGTATCGTTGTTTATTTATTCACAATTAAGGTATCGAGAGTTACCGTATAGTTTTTGCTAAGCTATTCTCAAGTGTCTCGCTTTAAATTATTACGCGGCTATCGAGAATCCTCGTCGAAGTTCCCGCCTCGTGCGAAAGATATTTATCGTTTAACGATCGGTACGTCTCCTACGAACGGAGTGAACGAGTATGCAGAACGGTTCGAGCAAGAGGAACGCCTCTCGGGTAACTGAAGTGGATTTTCGAGAGCGGTGTAAATGTTTTACTACGAAGCCTGTCTTGTATCACCAAAGTTTACGCGGATGCGGATCGCCTCGAATCGCTCGCATTATTATACACGTATGTACATGTCCTTTTCGCTTGACCGACGTCAGCGCGAGGTCGGAACGATCGTCGACGCTGACGACCCGCGAACTCGTTGTACGCCGTAAACTGTAAAGGTATAACAAGAAGGCAACGATACCGTATTTTCGGTTATTTCTTTTCACCATTATTTAGTGACTAACATTGTTTGAGCTTTGAATAGTACCTTGATAAAAACGGTGTATGTCATGTGTAAGATATACTTGGGTGTGGGTGTACCACTTTTGGAACCGAGGCGTTCTCGACGCGTCCGTTTGCTCACGTCTGACTTTCGCGTCGCGATCGACGTCCAAGAAGGATATGTAGGTACATGCAACGGGGATGCGTGGACGCGTCGACAATGTCTCGGTGCCGCGAGGACACGAGTTAAGGGCAGAACCGGCGGGAAAGATTTACCCGACGAAAGGGTCGAGAGAAGGAAACTGGAGAACGAGAAATGTTCGAGAGCGTTTCCTGCCGTGTTCAATTAACCGTGTCGTCGTCTCGTCCTTTCTGGCAGTGGTACCGCCGCGTACCGCGTTGGCTTAGATCGAACCTACTCGGCCGACGAACCGAACAGACTCGCATTTTCCGTTGCGTTGTGTTACAGCATACCCGGTGACACCTCATCCACCGACAGGTTTCGTTCCTGCACCGGCGCAACCGGCTACCTACGGTGGTACACGTAAGAGAATTCAACCGTCGCATTCCGCGTCTTTCGGGCTCTCGCAGCTCGTAGCCTCGTAGCTCGCGGGCTCGGAACATGAGATTCGATCCGATTACCGATCGCGAATATTCTGTGACAGTTGCAGGTGCCGCACCGTATGGAGTGTTTCCTAATCAGCCTCAACTGTACGCGGCGCAAGGTCCACCACCGCCGACCTACGATCAGACCCTGACTCATCCCATGGTGAGGAGATCCTCTGAACACCTTCTCGATTCGTTTCCCGTTGCTCCTTCCTCTCTCGTCTCTCCTCTCGATTGACAAAGGGGCCACGTTCGACTCTGGACCGATTGATTTTCCAGATGTATCAACCGATGTACGGGCAAGGATATCCGGGTTACTTGGCGGGATCATGTTATCCCGCGTACGGGCCGCTGCAATACTATCCGCCGTTGGCCGCAGCTGCAGCCTATTATCCTGCGGCCGCCATGCAGCCTCCGGTGAGGCCTCCCACGCTCGTGATGCCCGTAAGTTATCCGAATTCGTTCACCGTTCCGTTTCGCGGCACGAACTCGAAGCATCCACCTCGCAAAGATATTAATACGATGAATTGATGTGAAGAACGGATTCGATGCTACCAATCGGTTCGATAGCATCTCGCAACCCGTCTTGCCACCGCCGCCGACAGTTCCGAATGCCGCCCAATTAGCTGCAATGGCCAGCCACAGCGTGGCTATATCGCAAAAGAAAAACTTCCTGGGAGGAGGAACGGAAGGTGGTTACACCTTTTGGTAAACTCGTTCAAACACTTTTGTGAAACGCTAAGTCTAACGAAGGCGGGCGTACATTATCGTCGAGAATGATCCGTGTAGGCAAATTTCATTTCCGTTCGAATTCTACTATTTTTCACACCGGAAGCAGCTACGAGTACATTTAAAATATGCGAAACGAACGGTATCATTTTATCTGCTGACCGATCACCGAGCTCGCGATACGTATTCGCCAAAATGCTTTATCCGTTTTACTTGTTCTATCCGTATCTAGTTTGTCTCCGCGTCGCGCGTCTACGACACGAGTTTCAGATCCTAGAACTCGGGCGATCGGTCGACATATCGAAATAATACCATACCTACTATACATCCGTCGAATGAGATTCGAGTGAAACGAATTCGGAAGGGAAGACTCGCCCCGTGCGACACCCATCGTACGGTCGCAAAATTTCCTACCGTAGTTCGATCGATCAGCAGAAGGAACGATGAGCGAAAGATCATACTGATCGAGAGAGAAAGAAAGAAAGAAAGAGAGACGCGGTTTGTCACGGGCCAACAAACGATCAATCGCAGATTCGTTCGGGTCTGCTGCGTATCAGAGATCGAGCGACGACGAACGAAGAGCGGTTCGATGTACTTAAAGCGAAGAGATAAAGACGAGAGACACGATAATCATGGAAGGATCAATTTTTTCAAGTCATGTTGTTTCAGGCATGTCCAACGATGTCGCGCACGCATAAGTGGAGGTGCGTTAAGTACTGTGAGCGCATCATGGTCCACTGAATTACTGTGACTATTGCGCGAGGTGACAGAGAGCTGTTCGAGTAGGGAGAAATGAGTTGGACATGCCTGTATTACTTCGAGTACGTTCCGCTCGATCATATCTCGTTCGAGTCAAAGAACGAACATATTCCAAGACGCATGAGATGTTCTATCTTCTTCGTTCGATGAGAAACGGTAGCGAGAGTATGAGATAACAACGCGATGCTGTTGTTCTTTTTAGAGTCAGCCGGTGAATACGTGCATTGTCAGCGGACGAGAGTCGTCGTCGCGTCGTCTCATTCGCCTACAGGGATCGATATTCGAAGTGTGTTCTAAGCCTTTTTTTAACGCGACTTGGTTTTCTGCAAAACGAGACGAAGAGCGAAAGGGCTGCTCGCACGTTATTCCTGTTACTTTACATACTATATATATTTTCCTTTATTTTCGACATCTCTTTTTCTACCCGGAGTTGCTGCTCCACCGGTGAGATTTCGTTTCCAGCCGAATGAGGTGCGAAAGAATCGTAATGGGTGCGGCCCTAACGTTTGGAGAAAAGAAAACGAACGTGTACGCGACAGAAATTCGAAGAATATCTGAGAGTCGGTCGTATTCGTGTAGCTGCGCGTTATACTCGAGACGAACAATCTGATTTTATTTTCTTCGATTCGGTGCAAAATTCTTTTCTCATGGAGAAGAGTCGAAGGTCTCTCTTTGACATTTCCATGTTACGGCCGACGCGTTCGAGACTCGAAAGTGCCAAACGAAAGAATTGAAATGTAACGTTCATCGAGGATTCTCACGTATTCGACGACTTTCAAGATACTTATCTATTCTGTCTAAAAGTGCGCACTCTCTTCTTTCAAATCATTCGATAGTTTTTTTCTTTCGTGTTCGACGTCCCTTTCTTTTTACATACGGATTAGCTAGGTCGGCTAATAAATTTATTGTTTAATCGATGAAAGGCTTGCCCACGGTGTTTAAGTTTCTCTCTACAGGTTTACTCTAACGCTTAATTGCGCTTTGATTGAAACGGTTCACCACGTAATGGTCGAATTTCTCTGTTTCTTATTTTCTTTGTGATGTCCACTCTTGGTGGAGACATCTTGTTAATTAATATTCCCCGTTTCTTTGTGTCGCGTGTCAAAATTGCTATGGGAACTTGTTTCGACCAAAGCTCGCAAAATACGAAATACACAGTTGTCTCGATTTCAAAGTACAAATTGATTGTCCACGTGAGTAAGCAAAAGAGAGAGAAAACTCATAACGACGCGGTCAAGCCTTGTTATTCGCCATGTGTACGTTAGACGACGGCAAGCAATGCAGAACGACGCTCGTAACGCGGAGAATCGTTGACGAACGTGTCATACTATTTTCGGAAGACGGTCGACGGAGAGTGAGAATTTGGAAAAAAGAATCGCGATGGGAAACGGAAAGAATAGTTGCACGGCTACGAGGACGGCTGTTTTGCTTCGCGACCATAGACGTATAACACGGTGGACCTGCCGATAGGACATAGGATCGACGATATTCCATTCTGCAGGTGCACGAATTAAACGCGATATTAATTAAGCGATGAAGATCGAATAAAATAATTTACGATCGACGATAGTTTAGGATAGGACCAAAAAAGAAAAGGAAAACACGATTCTATTTAGATTTGTTTTGAGTGGATGTTCCGACAAACTTGACCAGTACTTTGTTACGTTTCGCATAAAATAAACGAGCGATTCTCGCTCGTTCATCTTAGGAGATGTTATAGCAACTTGTACACGATTTGTGATTTCTGTTCTATTCGTCTGTTCGATTAGCTTTGGAAATGGACGATTCCAAAAAATTTACTTTTTAAGCGAAACCCACTGGCCAAATTTGTTGCCACAGCGCCATATAACTTACATTCATCTCGTATCTTCGATTCTTTTTCTACCAGATGTATGTATGTACGTACGTAATGTACCTACGGTACGGTTACTCGCATGTTGACCAGCGTTTCGCGAAGAAAAGAACGCGTAATCTCGATCTTATTAAAAAGAAAGAAAAAAGAAAAAAAAAATAAATATAAAATCTAGTCCGAAGAGTCTGACCGATCGAGATCCGAGACGTTGTTACATAGACCATTTTTCTCGATCCGTGCAACGCCAGGTGCAGAATAAGCATTCGCTTAGATGTGTACCTCCGGACATCCGAGAAAATTGAGAAAAACTTCCGCCTATGGAAGGAACAGATGACAAAACGAGAAAGAGAAACTTATGCCATTCCACTTAACGACATTGATTCGCGGTCGACGCGTTAATGGTACGTGGTATGAGAGCTGGACGACAGGACATGCATTTAGTTGTTCGAGATACGCGTCTCTGAAAAAGAGGAGAAGAGTATTAAAGAAAATACCTAAATAAATGAAGAAAAAGAAAAGAGCGAAGAAGCGTATCGTTAATCGAAATGTGATCACTCTCGTCGAGATTTTGCGAGTTTGCGTATCAGCGAAGGGCTGTTTACCGCAAAGAAAAGAAGAAAAGGGCAGTTGGTTTCTACTTAGGCGACTAATCGCGCGATAGGTACACCGAGCCGATCTTGGCCATCTCACTCGGCCGATGTAACGTCGTCGCGATGATCCTATTCGGAAGAGGGAAACGGGAGAAACAGCAAAGAAACGGAAAGGCGATACACAGACCTACTCTCTACTTTCGTAGGAACTTATACGCGAGCGAATCGTGTTGCGTTTAATAGGTATTTATAATTAAGTTATTCTTATTTAAACGATTTATTTCGCAGACTTCTACCAATTTCGAACAGGATTGTACAACGTATTTTGACCGATTTATTTTGTATCGAGCGAGAGTGGTGGAAAGGTTTTATATCGTGAAAAAAGTGTGCAATAAGCGTAATGTCTATTGTAACGATAAAGAAAATGATATTAATCGCAACAAAGTCGAATTTGTTGCGTTCGAACGAAAGGAAGGAGTCGAGAGGGGAAGCAAGCGTGTATGCGTGTGATAGAAAGGAAGGAGAATAAAGAGAAACAAAAGTGTACCACTGCAATCACCGTGTACTAGTTAATAAATACAGTAATCATGAAATTTATTATTTCATGCATCCTCCGTATCGTAAAAAATGTTTTCCGGCAAACACGATCGAAATAAAAATGCGACAAATTATTTGTGCGAACAATCGCACAGCATACACGATTGGCAGCTGATTTATTTCCACGTCGCGGAATCATTCATTCTATTCGCGTTCTACTGTTGAAACTTCTCCGAGAGAACTTTTTTCATAGTTCTTTCCATGTTTGGCAATATCTCGCAATAACTGTCCACGCATTTCGTCACACAGTCGTCGAACTGTTCACTGAACTTATCTACGTCGCGTTGCGACGGATTCGGACCCACAGCATCTTTTATCCTATCGTTACAGTCCATGACGCATCTTTGTAATCGGTTCTACAATCAGATTTATACGTCGGGCTGAAAGTTTTAGTAGCATTTCGTTCGAATGAAAGTTCGTAACATACTTGGACCCTTCCAAGTTCGTCTTTAATGTAGTCTTGGGCTTGATCCACCGCGTTATTACAGTTTCTTACACAGTTCTGTACCCTTTGTATACTATACGACTCGTTATCGTAACAATTTGCAGCACACCTCAGCGAGTCGCCCTAAAATTAAACGTGACGTTCGTTGTAATTTGTTAAATCAATCGCGTTCTCGCGAACGTTGAAAACGTAAACGCGTGTCTCATGGTGTAACCTGAAAATACAAGCACATTGCACCTGCATCTTTCTCATCGATTTATCGATTCCCTCTACTATTTTGGTAGTGTGTTCCTCGACGCGCTTTTGTTGATCCATCTCGTACCAATTTATCGAAAAAGTTGGACGACGTCGAAGTAATTTTATTTATTAAAAAGTACCGGCTCGAGGTAGTAGAGGTAGAGTGAGAGAAACTCTCAACGACTTCGCACGCGTCCGACGATAAACTGGGTATTAAACTGAAAAGTGGCAGTGGAAAGGAAGAATCCTTATCAGCGGATCGGCGATGCCAACCTCTCGACGAGGTCCCTATGTCCGATATCGTTGTCTAAAAACGATGCGATTGGATTGAGAACGAAGTTGCGCCCAAAATTATGCGCGGGGCTAGAATTCTACGTCGCGCAAGCGTATTCTCTGTGCAAGGTATACGGTCCATACGAATAGGAAACCGTTCGTGATTCCGGCATTCCGGTCACTCTCCTTCAGTTGGCCGGTCATCAAGATGTTGAGTGCCGTGTCGAGAGCAGCCGCTGGGGCCCTTAGGGCCGTCAAACCCAGCCTCCTCCAGAATGAAGTAGCAAAAATCTCGGGCGCCTTGTCGGGAAACAGTGAGTATCGAATCAGTGCTAGTCTTAACTTTCGAGTTTCGGATTTTCTTTTCTTTCGCTTCGCCACGCAGCTCCGTGCACTGTACCCACTTTAACCGGGATCGTGCTCCGCGAATCTTCACACACGATATTTCAGTCGTTGCCCCCTACCATCGTGCTTTTATCATTTGCCTTCGTCGATTATCTGTTCCTTGTTTTTTTCGATCCACCTACGAACGTTGAGAAAAGTGTGCTATCGATTATATAATACATATTATTCGAGCGAACTGCAGTGGTACTACCACTGTGCCAACATGGCGGCATTAAGGTCATTGATTAATTTTTAGATGAGTATAAACGAAGACTCGTTTGTATACTCGAGCTCGACACGATACTGTCTCGTTTGAATTCTGTTCATTGCATTTTACTTGTTTCCATTGAAAGAAAAGAAAGTTCGTCTTCTCTCTACGCAAGTAGAGTAGTAGATACGTAGGATCGAGAATACTCGTCTCGCGGTCGAACATCGTACGCGTCTTTCGAAACAAAATTTAAAAAGCACTATACTTACAGCTCGTACTTGGAACGATATTCAAATACTAAATATAGACGCTGTTAATATAATAAAGGGCATCATTTTTCTCGTTCAAGTACAACTAGCTTGCATTATGTAATAACTATGTTTCACCTTTCGAGTATTCGTAGAAATCGTTGTTTCTCTTCGAAACTTTTTACGACGCGCGTGAAACGTGCATGTAGTCCGAGTATACGTAAATACATCGTATCGATACGCGTTATTCACGGTGATCAGGCAGGGATTACGCGAAGGCTGCAAGCTCGAAGGGTGGTGCGAAGGGAAAAGTGGTCGCTGTCATCGGTGCCGTCGTCGACGTACAATTCGAAGATGAACTTCCACCAATTCTTAACGCCCTGGAAGTTCAGGATCGTTCACCCAGGCTGGTTCTGGAGGTGGCTCAGCACTTGGGAGAGAACATCGTTCGCACCATCGCTATGGATGGTAATATATCTTTTTAACCTGTCCTTAACTTCCATCCGGAAACGATATAATTTACAGTCTCGCTTTACGAACGCGCGTTAACGCAGGTACGGAAGGTCTCGTCCGTGGTCAAAACGTTTTGGACTCTGGATATCCCATTCGTATTCCCGTTGGTGCTGAGACGTTGGGTCGTATCATCAACGTGATCGGGGAACCGATCGATGAGCGTGGACCCATTCCCACGGACAAACTCGCTGCCATTCACGCGGATGCTCCCGAATTCGTAGAGATGTCTGTCGAGCAAGAGATTCTGGTAACCGGAATCAAGGTCGTCGATCTCCTCGCGCCGTACGCCAAGGGAGGAAAGATCGGTAAGATCGCTAACGAGTCGATGTAGATTATATTCGGTTAACGCGTGTCTCATCGAATTTTATAGGTCTATTCGGCGGTGCCGGCGTCGGTAAAACCGTATTGATCATGGAACTGATCAACAACGTGGCCAAGGCCCATGGTGGTTACTCCGTGTTCGCCGGTGTAGGGGAGCGAACTCGTGAGGGTAACGACTTGTACCACGAGATGATAGAATCCGGTGTCATTTCATTGAAAGATAAGTCGTCCAAGGTAGCTCTGGTGTATGGACAGATGAACGAGCCGCCAGGCGCTCGTGCTCGTGTCGCGTTGACCGGGTTAACGGTCGCCGAATACTTCCGTGACCAAGAGGGTCAGGATGTGTTGCTGTTCATCGACAACATCTTTAGGTTTACCCAAGCCGGTTCGGAAGTAAGTACGCGTTCATTGCGTTGAACGACGATCTATGGAACTGAACTATATCATCGTTGTTTCGTGTTTCGGTAGGTATCGGCCTTGCTGGGTCGTATTCCATCCGCCGTAGGGTATCAGCCCACACTGGCTACCGACATGGGTAGCATGCAGGAGCGTATCACCACGACCAAGAAAGGATCAATCACTTCCGTGCAGGCCATTTATGTACCTGCCGACGACTTGACCGATCCCGCTCCCGCTACCACCTTCGCTCACTTGGACGCAACAACCGTGTTGTCCCGAGCCATCGCCGAATTGGGTATTTATCCTGCCGTCGATCCCCTCGATTCCACCTCCCGTATCATGGATCCCAACATCATCGGTCCCGAGCATTACAACGTTGCTCGTGGCGTGCAGAAGATCTTGCAAGATTACAAATCGCTCCAAGACATCATCGCTATCTTGGGTATGGACGAGTTGTCGGAAGAGGACAAACTCACCGTAGCGCGCGCACGTAAGATCCAAAGGTTCTTGTCTCAACCATTCCAGGTACGCACTTTTGTGATATCCGTTTTGTCAAACATCTCCGGAAGAAACTTAATCGACTCGTCTACGTTACATCTGTTCTTTTCTCTCTCGCGCAGGTTGCCGAGGTGTTCACCGGTCATGCCGGCAAATTGGTACCGCTAGAAGAAACGATCAAGGGATTCAAGAAGATTCTCGGCGGAGATTACGATCATCTGCCGGAAGTCGCGTTCTACATGGTCGGACCGATCGAAGAAGTAATAGCGAAAGCAGAGTCGTTGGCCAAATAATAAACTGATTCAGTCATCGTAACCGTGTCATTAAAAAAGTAATTAAAACGATCTTCTAATAATACAGGCCTGTTTCTTTTGTATCTCTACGAGTGTATAGACTTTCGTCGGAACGGATCGGAAGGTGCTATTTCGAACGAATTAGAAGATTGTTTTTTTCTTTTGTTTCGTTATACGAAAATTCGCAAACACACATCGAGAACATCGTGCACACGATTGATCGCCGATGCCATTGAAATTCTGTTCAAGATGTTCCCGTTGCCCTTAGATCGAATCGATACTGTTAACTCATTCGAACGTATACCTGAACGTTATAGTGTATGATAGGAAATAATAAAAATTTTACAAAAACCGTACGAATGGACGATTAAGAACGAAGTTCCGCTTTTGTCCAAGAAGGAAAGAAGGAAGTCGAAGAAAATTATGAATAAAACGTCAAGCCATATAAATACAAATCTTTTTATTGAGCTGTAAATAAAACGATTGCCATCAATTTATTTCTGAGCGGTAGGCGCTGATTGACTGGACGATTTTGAATCTCGCATAGAGGCGCTGCGCCTCCGTTTCAATTCTTCCTGGCGCTTGTTCTTTGCTTCCTTCTGTCTTTGCGCTAACAACTTGGCATATTCTGCTGCTTGTTGTTTGCGAGCCATCGTGTGTCTTCGCTTCAAGGCCATTCTGTGGCGTTTCCTCTGTAAAAATAATTATCCTGTCATAGATGCTGCCAAGGAATTGAAGGAAACACGGATGAAAGAGTAACGTGTGGATTTACCTGCAGAGTAAGGGGGGTGATGAGGCGTTGAATTTTCGGTGCCTTGTGACGTATGGGTTTTCCCTCCTTTTGCACGGGACGCTTGACTACGAAACGACGCACGTCGTCTTGCTTGGTCAAATTAAAGAGCTTGCGAATTTTGCTCGCTCTTTTAGGGCCCAGCCGGCGCGGAACTTCTGTATCAGTTAAGCCTGGAATATGCTGTAAACAAATTATTGGCATCGAGGCGTTATACATGGGGAGTTTATCAGCTAGCCAGTGTATCGTTCACACACTAAGACAAGGTATATAGAATACAATCTCTCAAATCAACAAACGACTAATTTGATCTCCCATGTTTACGATAGTATCCTAAGAATATAGAAGAGCTCTTGGATACACCCTAAAACCATGGACCAGGAACAGAAGGTTGTTTCACTGAATGAAATTAAATACCTGTTCTCCCTTCTTAACGATGACCAGGGCAAGGACCGAAAGATTAGCGTCGACGATGCATCCACGAACTGATTTACGTTTCCGTTCGCCGTCGCGTCTCGGCCTATAGCACGAATGTCCCTTGGAAAGCAGTAAACGTACACGTCCTGTGCACACAAAGCAACATCGAGAATCGATTAAATGTTCAGTAATAACACCTGAATGCGATCGGGTTCCTACCGTTGGTCAGTACACCCTGTTTCATGGGAAATCCTTGTTTATCATTGCCACCAGAAATGCGAACGACATAGCCTTTCCATTCGTTGCCGAGAGCATCAGCTTCCACTTCGGCGCCCATACGTTTCTCGTAAAAGACTCTCAGCTTGTGCTCGTCCGAGATTTCGAAAAGCCGTTGGCATCCCGTCGCGGGATACGATACGTTCAACTGAAATGATAACAGAACAAATGTATCTTTTGGTATCTTGATGTTTCATGTTACGCCGATTATATATATACGCGTATCGACTTTTCGAACGATTCGTCGCGTACGTTTCGTCAACGATCGTATGCGATATCGTCGAGATTTTTGGAGTATTTTCAGATACATACCTTCATCCTGGCAGATACCGAGCCGTGTCGTGCGTCGTGTCAATGCCAGTGCCGTAAACGGAAAGGAAAAGGAAGAAGCACACAAGCCACTTGCTCGTTTAGTTACCTTATCTGAAAAAATGTCTATATTTGCTGCCATCACACGAACTAAAATATTCCTAAATGTTTAGGAAGCCTCAAATCTTGTCACTGAAACCTGAGTTTCACTATTCCTCCATGCACGGCGCGATCAACACTGATCAGCTGACGGCTACTAACGGTTGCTTTGTGTTTATTGTTACGTTGACGTTAATGTCAGATGATCCGATGCGAGCCGATGTTCATTCACGTAATAGATACAGTACCTTCGATCTCTCGTGAAATCAGAAGAATGTTGTCACATTCCACGCGTCTCGTACATCTAAATACGTATGTCTGTCAAGTACGAAATTAAATAAATTGTTCGGCGATAAACTTACTACGCTTTTACATTCGCGTCGACATCCACGTTTTTCATTTTCGCTTTTCGGTTGAATTCAATTGTTTGGTCTTGTTTTCGACATCGTTCGCGGTCCGAATTACTGAATAAATAAAGAAAGAAATAAGATAATGCGGTTGCTGATCGCTAATAATTACCACAGCACGTTACGCGGTGTTGACAGAGCCACGAATATAACGGGTCGTTGAAGATGCAACGTCGATCGCGTCGCGTTTCATAATTTGAAGAAACGAGATCACATCGAGCTGCAACCAAATTATCGTCTGAGACTCGATAAACACGATTAATTTTTTCGACATTCGATCGCTTTATCGGTATCTTATCCCGATGCGTATCGACGATTAACCGACAGTTTTGAACATGGACATCGTGGATATTTTAAGAGAAATTTTTGGACTAGGGTTCACCGACAAAAAATCTGGCAAAGGAAGCAGTTCGAATTCTTCAAGGTATTTTTCTCGACGCATTACATTCGTACTTTCGTTCATTCGTCTCGGTGACCGTCTAGTCGTGTTCATGGATCGGTATATTTTAGAGCGTCGCAGAGTTTAGATTCGGTAAACAAGTACATAGAAAGTACCCTCCTGAAAGATGCTCCGATTGAAAAAGAGACGAGAGAAGACGACAGAGATGGTCGGATCGGACCGAACGTGGTTCATTTCGATGCATCGGCACGCTCCGGACTACTCTCGACTTCCCTCGACAGGCTTTCCATTAAGGCTAGAAGTAATTTTAGCACGATAAGATCGAATGTAGCGGTATATCGAGGCAAATGGATGTATGAGGTCCAACTTGGATCGAAAGGACTCATGCAAATTGGTTGGAGCACGTTTGATTGCAAATTTACACCGGACTCCGGAGTGGGTACGTGCGCCGCACGACGAATTCTTTCTACGACGTACTTACATGTGTAATAACCATAACTCGTTAGAGAAAGGTGTTCCATCTGTAACTATAAATTCTTGTTATTAGGGGACACTGTTAATTCTTACGCTTACGATGGGAATCGTGTGAGAAAATGGAACGTAGCTTCGTATTCATATGGGGAATCGTGGCTCGGAGGAGACGTGATCGGATGCGCCATAGATTTGGACGATGGAAACGTCGATTTTTACAGAAACGGACGGAACTTGGGACGGGCGTTTGAAAATATAACCATGGGTTCTAGTTTCGCATATTTCCCAACAGTGAGTCTTGCTCGAACCGAAAGTTTAATAGCCAATTTCGGTTTGACTCCGATGCACTATCCTCTGCAAGGATACGAGCCGATGCAAGCGATTCCGAAAGAAAAGATACTTCGAGCTACGCTATTGCTTGACTGGTTCTCCAAGATAATAGAACGCGTGTACGTAGAAGAACAGAAGGCGAACGGCGAAAAGATTATGTTACGCGACGACAATATGAGCGTACAGGCCTACCTAATGTGTCTTGCGAATTGCGTTCTCGTCCACATGGGACCCCTGATCACCGTACCGTATATCGCGGAATCCATTATACTTCCGTTTATCCAGAAACTTGCCGAATCGGAAGACCTTTCCTTGTTGTTCACTTGCTTAGATCTTTTATGGACGTTCGCCGAGAAGCATGAAATGAAGGAATGCTTGGAGACCATCATATTTTTTTTATTGTCCACGTTGAGACACGTGTCTCATCTGAACGAGTACCTCGATCAGTGTAAAAGCTTGATTCTTTTGACAAAAATTTGTCAACACGTGTCGACTCGTCAGTATTTGTTGGACAACGTGCTTTTCGATCAAGCGAGACCTCCGATCTTTTTGGACGTGAAACCGCCGGATAAGCAAGGATTGATAGATACAGTCAGCGACGTATGGTGGGAGACGAAGAATCCCGTAGATCCGATAGTCGAGGCCAACAAACAAAGTTATTTAAATGCTTGCGAGGAAATGAAAGTTGCGATCTCTGGTAACGATTGACTTTACGTATCTCTCAGCGAGATCGCATCTTTTACTCATCTCGCCCGATCATGTTGCAGAACTCGAGAAATTACAAGTGCGTTTGCTGGTAACTCTCCTCGACAATTCCGACGGTACCGAAATGAGACCCACTTCGAGAACAATATTTTTACGAAAATTCAAGCGTTTCATTCCCATAGCTGATGCCGTAAGTAGAAGACGATCGTCGAATTACCTATATCACGCGTATATTCGTATATTACAAAAGGAATAACTTCAGGATCCTGCACCGATCACGTTGTGTTGCATTCATCGACTTCTGACTGCATTTCAAATTTTATGGGACGCCGAAGTCGGAACGTATCCCGTTTACGTGCCATGCAGGTAAACTTTTATTTTACGCCGCTCACCACTTCGCTGTAATGTAAATTAGTAGCAGTCCTGTACTACCTATCGCGCTCGAGTAGATGGTATTCGTTCGACTGGAAACGAAATTAACTCTCACAGGATGTTCTACGACGGATCGATCGACTACTCAAGAACCGACAGGCTAGGCGGCGTGACCTCTCATTTGAACAAAACGTTCAGGAACGAATTGATACAACTTTTGGGAGCGGAACATGAGACGATCGCCTCGATGGAGAGTCAGGCCCAGAACCGGACGCCGAATTCGTACGCGAGAATGGCGCTCGTTCGTGCGATCGACGCGAACACCTTCCCGTTCGAACGCGACGCGTTTCTCGATTCATCTACACCGCCGCTGGTCATGAATCGCGTGGATTCGACAACGTCTTTGCTTGAATTGTTCGACGGCATCGTTTCATTTTATTATCTGGTGGCGAAGAAGCCATTGGCGAAGGTGGCTCTTTTGAGAAGCAGCATGACGGATTACATCTCCGCTAGCCGAGACATAAAAACACGATTGGAGGAGCTCGACAAAAAAAATAGTCCCGAATCCGAGTTGGAATTAATTCGACAGCAGTTATCGAGATTGATAAACATTTTCAACGTCAAGCTGATCGAACAGAGCAGATACATGGCGTGGATCCGTGCCGCCGTTTATTCCGAAGAAAAGCAGTTGCAATTCGCATGGCTCTTGAGGGCGATCGCAGCGACGTTGACGAGCGCTAGCTTGGAAGGGAACATGTTCAGTTTCGTGCCTGATTTTTACTTAGAGACACTGGCGGACTTGTGCGTGGGCTTACGAAATCACATGCACCCGACGGCGCCTGTCGAACGTATTGCGGATCATCAAGAATTGTTTCGAAGCATAGCCGAATTCCTGTGCGAGCATTTTATGGATCCCCGTATAGTGAGCGTGAACTCGAAGAGTACGTTGCTTCTGATGCTGGCCGGATTCGTGTTCAATCCACTGACGCTAAACTCTTTGGAGAACGTGCCGGAGGCCAGCCGGATGAAGCTCGTTACGAGCTTGTTAAAATCGTACGAGAACAGGGCGTGGGCCCAGTCTAATTGGATTCTGGTCAGATTTTGGCAAGGCAACGGTTTCGCCTTTCGGTACGAAAAGAGCCCACATCTGTCGAAGAAGATCGGAGCAAGACCGTATCAGCAAGATTCGATTTTTCAACCGAAAAGTACGTATGTATGTACAATCTACTTCCGCTCGTTCGCAAAATGGATCAGACATTAGAGATCTGAACGAAATCGTCACGAAAATTTAATCGAATTCGGACGTTATCTAGAACCATACCCGTCCGTCGTGTTCCAAGGCCACGTGAGGGACGTATTATTAAAAAGTTCGCAAGACACAGCGGCGTTCTTGAATTCATTGTTGAATCTTTTAAATTGGACGTTTTCTGAGTTCATCGGAATGGTGCAAGAGATTCACAACGTGTCGTCGAGACCCGAGAGGGTGTACATCGAGTCCAGACAGTTAAAAATTTGCGCCACGTGTTTCGATCTATCAGTCTCCTTGTTGAGAATCTTGGAGATGATCATCACGATGGTACCGAACGTTTTCAACGATCAGACTTTCAGTGAAAATTTATTATTTAGACTGTGCCAAGTATATCATTTCTTTACCTCTATATACGAGAATATATCTCTTCTCAGAGCTCGATCGACACGCGATCATCGTTATCGTATTTATTCCGTTCTATTTTACAGCTACTTTGCCAAGTGTTGAACAGGATGAGCTCACAGACCAGTTGCTTCCAGCACGTTGTACAATTAGAAATTCTCGATTTGGAGTGTGTAGATCATTTTCCAATACTAGCCGCGGTCACGGGTATCTTGTTGGCACTACTCCATGAGGATATGAACAAGTTCAAACGTGAGTATCGCCTCCTTTCTCATTCGACTCCACGCGATCGTCCGTCCATTCCTATCCGGTGTTCGACGACAGATTCGAAAACGTACGCGTACGTTATTAGGAAAATCCATGACTGAAGTACCGAAGATCACGCAAGCGTTATTGACGGAACCGAGCTTCCAAATGAGCACTCTCTATTTCATGTTGGGGGATTCGAAACTGAAAGATCGGAATCAGGAGAGAAGAATAAAACAATTTTCTTTCTTGAATTGTAAGTATACCACGTCTACGTTGCAGTGCGTTTTATCTCGCCCTGTGCGTTGATAGGACAGTCAGGATATATTTAATCGATCTCCGTCTCCCTTTAATCGTTTTCATCCCCGCTCGCAGACCCGGAAGATGTGACAGAGGAAGAGGTAAAGAGAGTGAAGGATATGATCGAATATTTGGACGAATGTCGTGCCATTCTGCCAAACTCGAAGATCTCTACGGACAACAGTGATACATGTACCATCTGCTACGCGCAACCCATAGCAGTGACATTTAAACCGTGCAATCATCAAACGTGTCGTATCTGCATCGATAGACATCTTCTGAACAGCAGATCGTGTTTCTTTTGTAAAGTGACGATTGACAAAGTAGTCGATCTCTCCGGGAATGTGTTGCACGACTTCACCCAGACACCCATGTCCTCGAATTAATCCCCGCTAGAATCATTACGGCCCGTACGACGATCGTACACTGGTACGAAAGTAATTGTAAATCAATTTCGAATAAAGATTATAAATGATGAGTACGCGACATCCTATAAAATATAGTGTAACATTTTATTTATACATTGTTCCGTAAAAAATACGTGATAAAAAAATAAAATATTGGAAGGTGGAGATCTTCACCCCGTCGTCGGTAAAATATCAGTCTTCATTTAATCTGAGCATATGAAAATCATCCGTCCATATCACGAGTCGAGCCGGTCATTCCTTAGTTTGTCCTTCGATCTTTACGAAAGCGGAGAATTCTATAAATCTCTTCCTTGCGATCTATTCTTCGACGAAGTCGGTTTAAGTACACAAACTGTCTCGCAATCTTCTGAACCCGGTGACTTGAGGAGTTCCTTTCGGTGGTAGGTTCAGATCTTCGATCGCTTCGACGAATACGAGCCCGGAAACGAACGCACCGAGCGCGGTGATAAAAATCGCGAAAAACACGAGCAATCTATCCTTGTTCAGATACAGTTCCGAATCTTTCAAGAGTGTACTTCGGAATAGCGCGATGCCGGGAAAGACAAAGATAAAAGCGGCCGACAAGGCTCCCAGCAAATTAACAACCGGCGAGATATCCGGAACGAGCACCGCGATGATCAACGACAGTACGTACCAAACTATCGTGACGAAGGCTCGAGATCGGAAAGTCGTCGCGTCGACGTCGATTCTCGCGAGACTGAAAAGCGCGTCGCGGCCGCAGTACAGAACGATCGGATATGTAGTAAAATTTTTGATTGCTACAAACACGACGGCCAACGCGACGGTCACGCTTTCGTCCGCGTATCCTTGTAGCACGTCGCTAGGCACTTTTCCACTGCCAAACGTCGCGTATCCGAAGGTACCGACTATCGTGTAAACGAGGAAGCAGACGATCATACTTACTACGGCGCAGAAGGTAAATTTTTTCACGCTTCGCTCTCTCATGCAAGCGTACATCGGTATGGCCGTCATATGACTCTGAAAATGAAATTCAAAGTCGAACGATGCGATCGCGATCGAACATACAGGACGAAGTGTTAGATACCTGATACGCGAAGCAAATTATGGGTATTATTTGAAGCATTCGGAATCCGTTCCGATCCGGCCATATCTTCATCGGATCGACGTTGGGAAGGTCGCCCCTGACGAAATATTTGTACACGACCACCACCGTTACGTACAGAACAGCGACGCAGCCGACAGAACTCGCATAACGCAAAACGCGTAATTTCTTAAAGAAACACAGAGGCAGTAGAAAGAGATTGCACGTTATCACCGTGATGAATGTTCTCGATAAGTACCTGCAACAATTGTTGAATTCATTAACGAGAAAAGAAAAATATATTACGGAGAGTCGCATCGATCGGATACCATGTATGGCAGTAATCCGGCCCGATGTACGTGGCTAAGACTCTGTCGAATTGGTCACCGATGATTATTAAAAAAGTTAAGCAACATCCGAAGCTATATATCGCGATGCAAGAGGCGCATAAGAGAAGCGTTTTCGGCCCGTAAAGGGCAGCGAACATATCTTGCATGGAAGAAGTATCGGTGACTTCGCTGCAATTCGCTAGGATCACTAGGGCAGCTGTGATAAAAACGAGAAAGATAAGTTGCGTGCCCACGGAGGTGATCAATCCGCCAGCTTCGTCGAATGCTCGCGGGAAGTTTAAGAGACCAGCCCCCAAAGTGGCATTGACGATCAAGAATACGGTACTCCAAACACCGGTTCCTGCAGCACACAAATTCGAAAGATATCGTTATTAAAAAAATGAAAGGGAAAAAAGTAATTAGAAAAACGAAGCGCGTTTCCATTTGTCAATTCGTGAATCTACCAATGCAAGCAACCGATTGGAATGACTGGCGGAAAATAAAAGTACATACCTGAAGTCTCATCGTTATCCTGATGAGTAGTTGAAGGGTTCGGCGGCGCGGTACATAACACTACGTCATTATCGACGAGTCGTTCCTCGTCGCCCGTCGAACAATTCATATTCGATGATCACGGATTCAACAGTAATTTCCCACTAATAACGATCAACGATATCGCACAACTTCAGAAGCACAGACGACCGCGTTCTTTGGAGCAACGATAACGCATTATCGGCAATGCCTACGATTGGACGGTCAGTGGGCCTAAGTAAAGTATAAAGCAGTAACAGCAGCACAAAGGTCGTGCTGACACTGACTCGTACGTGAATCTGGCAACTCGTCTCGTGTGCGTATAAATAAGAAGGAACCATGAAGATATCAGGTACTAGATACTTATGCCTCTCCCACCGAGGAGATACCACCTGGGGAGGGGGGACTATCTTTCTCAAAATTTCGAAGAATGCTTCAAATAAAATTTGTAGGTATTGACGTCCTCTACAAGGAAGATTCTATGCAGTTTTCTTCTAACTTCAGTATTTAACGAGTTAAAGATGATTAATCGGTATTTCATTAGTACTGACAAAATCCGGTCTTCCCACCGTCGAAACAGCCAACTTTCGACGGAAAATCTAGTTTTTCCTCAAATACTAGCAACCGCTTTTGACTACAACCGGACGAACGGGCCAAGACTGTATTTTCAGCAACCCCCGCAGCTCTCTACTCGTGCAGTAATCGATAGAGCCAGCGACGCAAGTTTCGGCTGTTACACTTATACATATTTTAAGACAAAGATCAAAGTCCAAGCGCATGGATGTACATGACATTGCCAGAAAATGATCGCACACGATTCACGGATATACCAAAGGGAGAAATTCCCTTGACGCGCATATTTATTTCGGGAAAACGCCCAAAAATGATCGCATAATAAACCCATTATTGAGACGTGTACGTATCGCTTTCGAGGCAGGATCGAGAGCGGATCAAACAGAAGTCCGGGCCGATCTCTTTATAATGGCAAGACACGTGGCCCACATAATTTACCGCCAATGGTCGTGTTCCATTGTAATCGCTACCTATTATGCTCTTAACGAGCGATCAGAACGTACGAAACGTTGAAATGGTAAAAACTGCCCGAAAGTTACTACTATTTTCCCAGAGCTTCCTCTGATGCATGCCTAGATTCTCTGTCAGTTTATAGTACGAATCATAAGATTCATCATGCGTATATTATGTAACTGTATCTGTTTCGTTGAAACGTTCTCGATGCTAGTTAACAGAAATACGGAAGGAAACGATTACTAATTACATCTAATCGCGCATAATTGTATAATTCGAGAAGTTCCCAAGAGGCGCGTAAATGGGAGAACGGGGTAGCAACCCTCGGTTAAGTGTTAACTGTGCCAACAAACCCTGTTCCTTTCGCAACCCCTTGCTACGTGGCAAAATACACGATGACCCTCTTCACCCTATAAACACTCGAACCTCGAGCTCGGAAGAGAAAGAGAGAGAAGAGAGTACGGCACTCGAAACATCGCAAACAAACTCTTGATAGCGAATGCGAATCAACCGTCGATTACTCTTTTGTCTTTCATACGACACGTTCAGAGCGTCTTACTTCGGTCCTCTATTAACCCCTTAAGGATGTATTGGCTATACAGTCAATCCCAAAAGTTTATGCACTTTAGAAACGCATTTTTTAAAAAGAAATCAGACGTCGGAAGAACATTGCTAATAAT